AGATACTGCATGAGGATGAGTGTTACCAGAGAAAAGAACCAAGAGTGAAGGGGAAGTGTTCTGGTTCAGTAATATGTCTATTACAAGACTGTTATAATAGAAAGGGCACGTATTAACCTCTGTTCACAATTGATGGCTTCAGACTGGTCATGGGACTACTATTGATGCCCCACCAGTTGAGCAGACATTTCCCATCTATGCTGTACTTTGCCAGGAAAAAAATGGATTTCTGTAGGCAGCTAGCTATCCATAACAAGGTTTCTCAAACTTGGCTGCCTGCTAGAATCACCAAGTGAGAGTGAAAGTGTTAGTTGCTCAGTTGTGTCCAAATCTTTGTGACCCCATGGACTGTAGCCTGCCAGGCTCCTCTGTCCGTGGAATTCTCCAGGCAACACTACTGGAGTGGGTTGCCATCCCCTTCTCCAGGGGATCTTCCCAGCTCAGGGATTGAACCCAGGTCTCCTGCGTTGCAGGTAGGCTCTACTGTCTGAGCCACCAGGGGAGAATCACCAAGGGAACCTAAAAAATAATGGAGGTGGTGCCTGGGCCCTGCCCCAGAGATGATAGTTTAATTGGCTGGACTAGTACCAGTGCATCAGGATTTTGAAAATTTCCCCCAGATGGTTCTAGTGTTCAGTCAAGTTTGAAACACACTCATCTGTAGTTCCCATCCTGCCCCTTTAGAGTTTGGTTATTGTAAAGTGTAGTTTATACTGTTCTCAGGGTGATGATAATAGCAACTACTGCTTACTGAATATATGCTAAATTTCAGTTGCTGCGCTGTTGTATATACACACAGAAGCTAGATAACTTCTAAGTGCCAAAGCTAGAATTAGAGTTTAGGACCCCAAAACTCACCTTCTCTCATATAAGCCACATTGCTTTGCCACATGTGAGATTCTGTAGCCAGTTGCTTTGGGGGCCATTCGAGTTAATGATTCCATCATCACCATGTTACTAATATTATGGTGGTTAGTGAGATAGATTGTTTAACTGGCCCAGTTCCCTCCCCATATGTCCCCACCATTTGACTTTGAGTCCATCTGTGAGACCTTGCTTTGCCCATGGAACCTTAATGTTTTTACCCTAACCAAAAGCCCAAAAGTACTTGTGTGATTGGATTTGCACTCATTCCTCAGTCACTGTCATAACATTCTTGGTTTTTTTTGCTGGTGCGAGGAGAAAGATGACTATACTTAGGAGAGCCAAGCGGCTTTTCCTGAAACCTAGCCTATATCATCAGCCAATCCTAAACTAATCTGCAGATCGGTGAGAATAAATGATTGCTGTCTCCAGGCAGAGCTTTGGGTGATATGTTATACGGCATATTTATGATGGTGGCTAACTGATAAACTGGTGTAGAAGACTGACTTGATTCCAGTATTCCAACCTGTGCTCTGAGGAGAACTGGACACAGACAAGCACTTAGGATATTAGGGACTTTCTGTATTATTCTGATCTCTTATTCAAAGTAATAGAGGAGACAAGATGCTTGAAAAGTAGTTAACTATAGTCAGAGGTTGATTGTAGACCGCCACCTCCGTATTCATAAACCAAGCACTGATTAAGGGAATGGAATTCTCGTGATTGACTTAGAACAGCAGTTTTTGATAGACATTTTGCAATTAGGAAAATGTTAAATTATTGTCAGTCCAATACCGTAGCTTCTGGTCACATACAGCTTTTGGGCACTTGAACTATGGCTCGGGAGAATGAAGAGCTGAGTTTAAATCTTTTTGTTTTTAACTTAAATACTACCTCTTAAAGTTAGACGCAGCTGTCGGCATCCTTATGGGACTACACAAACAACTTCTTTGCGGCTGCCGAGGAAATCACTCTCCTTTTAAGTCACAAAGCTAACATGTTTCTCAGTAAGAGAAAGTTCTGTCAACAAGGAAATGAGGTAGATCTTAGGTAGATAAATATTACTTGTTGTTTCATGGTTATTGTCCTATTCAGATTTTTCTATTTATTGGGCCAACTTTACTCATTACATTTTCTTAGTAAATTATGCATTTTATTGATACACTTCAAGTTTATTGGAATAAAGCTATTAAGAGTTTTTAATTCCCTTCTGTACTCGCTTTTTGTTTTTGCCTTTTAAATCAGTTTTATTAAGATAAATTATGTACAATAAAATTCAACAATTTTATGTATACAGTTTGATAAATTTTGACAAATGTATAAAATCATGTGATCACCTGTGGAACATTTCTGTTACCCCAAAGGTTCCCCTTTTGCTTCTTTGCTGTCAGTCACAACTCTTACCACTTCCTGACCCCTGGGAACCATAATCTGCTTTCTAACATTAGATTCTTTACTTTCTCTAGAATTTCATATAAATGGGATGGGCACTATATAGTCTTTCAGCTTCCTTCACTTAGTATGATGTGTTAAAAATTCATCCATGTTATATGTATCAATCGTTTATTATGAGTAGCATTCCATTTGTTTATCCATTCATCAGGTGGTGAACATTTGGGTTGTTTCCCGGTTTAGGCATTTATTAACAAAATTGATATTAACAAATTCAAGTTTAAGTTTTTTATGTTTCTGTGTTTTTTATTTCTCTTAGGTAAACACCTGTTAGTGGGAATTAATAGGCTGTGCAGAAAGTATATATTTAATTTGTAAGAAGTTGACACACTTTTCCTGTTGGAATGTTTGAGAATTCAGTTCTAGTTGTTCTGTGTCCTTGGTCTTTAACATTTTAACCATTCTACTAGATACGTAGTTTCTCATTGTGGTTTATGAGTTGAATTTGCAATGCCTTAATGACTGAGGATGGTAAGGACATTTTCATGTGCTTATTTGGCACTTAGAGATCATCTTTTGTGAAATGACCGTTCAGCATTTATGTCCATTTTTAAATAAGGTTTTTCTTAAATATTGGTTTGCAAGAGTTATTTATATATTTCACACATAAACCTTTCATCAGATCTCTGTTCTATTTTCTCTTTTTATGAAGACTTGACAGTTTTAAGAATAAGAAGTTTACAACTTTTGTTTAAAGTTAATTATCTTTTAAAGGAGTGTAAGATAAGAGAAAAATAATATTATATTATACAGATATTTTTCATTTATGTTTTTTTTCGTTGTGTAGGTCCAAATTTCCATCTAATATCATTTTCCTCTGCCTTGAGTACTTCATTTAACATTTCTTGTGCCTTGGGTCTCCACTTTAGGTTCCACTACCAGATCCCACCACTACCAGCCCCACCACTAAACATGGCGGCCCCCTTGATGATGCTCTCGCCTCTTGTGCTGATACAGTCACGCTGTCACTTAGTTTTCCATTCTGATTCCTTCTGTGTCATTCTTTAGGAAGACCTCAAAGTTTCTGGTCAACTGAGATGTCCCATCATTTGTACTATCTTAGACAGGGCTAGATTCGGGGCAGAATAATTGAGAATGGGGTGTTAGCAGGGATAGAGGAGTGTAGACTGCTCTGCGTACTGAGTTTGTCTTCACAAAACCAAAATGCAGCCTGATGTTTGTACTGAATTAAAGACCATGGTTTGATCTACACTACTTTTATATCCTTTCCTCAAATACAGGATGGTGTTGAATACTTACTGGGGACTCATGCAATACCTGGCTGGATTTTATTAAAAAAAAAAAAGAATTACTGAGAATATTTATTAAACTGCACTTGAAGTCAAATTTTACTTATACATTCCTTTCTCTTTTTTTTCAGCTACATGGTTGGAATATATTGAATTAGGCACCAACCATCATTGTGACTTTCTGATTTAACTTCTCTGAGTTCTGTGTTACATATAGGAATTGGGTATTCTTTTGGGGAAAGGGAATGGCTACCCACTTCAGTATTCTTGCCTGGAGAATTCCATGGACTGTATAGCCTATGGGGTCATAAAGAGTCGGACATGACTGAGTGACTTTAGTTTAGGGCCTGCCTTATATAGACTACTTTCAACTTAATTGAAAAAGCTTTCTTTTCTTTTTTTCCTATTTTCTTAAAGTCTTTTCTTTTATTGTCTCTGCTTTGTTTCCCCTCATTGCTATCTGTCACCATCTTATTCCTTGTCCAGCTGTCCTCTTATTCTTTTTATAGTCTAATTCACAAAAAGAAATACATTCCCATATTTTCATCTTTCTCTTTTGAAAAAGTATATATTTTTAGAGATTTCTAAGCTATGTCAGGGTCAAGTGAAGTTTTGTTAACGCTTTGGAATTAGAAAACAAAATGAAATCCTGTAGTGATTATATGGGTTTAAGTGTTACTAAAAATTTTCAAATAAGCATTTGCAGAATATTTGAGAGATTTACCTTACTCAGTTCAGTTCAGTTCAGTCGCTCAGTCGTGTCCAACTCTTTGCGACCCCGTGAACTGCAGCACGCCAGGCCTCCCTGTCCATCACCAACTCCCAGAGTCCACCCAAACCCATGTCCATTGTGTCAGTGATGCCATCCAACCATCTCATCCTCTGTCGTCCCCTTCTCCTCCTGCCCTCAATCTTTCCCAGCATCAGAGTCTTTTCAAATGAGTCAGCTCTTCACATCAGGTGGCCAAAGTATTGGAGTTTCAGCTTCAACATCAGTCCTTCCAGTGAACACCCAGGACTGATCTCCTTTAGGATGGACTGGTTGGATCTCCTTGCTGTCCAAGGGACTCTCAAGAGTCTTCTCCAACACCACAGTTACCTTGCTATCATGCATTTAAAAATCATTAAATGTATTTTTAGAATTTATTTTAAATAAAAATTTGTCTATATTAAATTTTTCTAAAAAGACCGTTAAGATCATTAGGATTTGTGTGATACAAGAGATTATAGTCAATGTGTTCCATAAATGTATCTGACATTAAAAAAAATTATCCATTGCTTTATGTATCTCTTTAAAGATTTCATGTTTTGTGTGGGATTATTATTCTATGTTGAATTGCTCATCTGGGAATATTTTAATACTAAAATCCTCTCTTGGAATGTATGCTGTTGTGTTTATCTTCTAGGGTTCACATTTACCAAGAGAACTTGAGAATGAGCAGCCGACGGAAACGTGCTCCCCCAGTGAGGGTAGATGAGGAAAAGCAACAGCAGCTTTGCTGGAATATGCATGAGGACAGAAGGAATGAACCTCTCACCTTAACTGATGACGAGCAGTCCTGCCCAGGTTTGGACCCCTCTCCTGCTCACCGCATCATCCTAGATGACAGTCTAAAGGAAGAAGTGGCTCACAGAGCAAAGAGGAGATGTGCCGAAGCCGTGAGCATCTCAAAATCAATTGATAAAGAAGAGACTGGTGGCATTTTTTCCCCTTTGTCTGTAAAACTGAATATTGTAATTTCTCCCTATCACTTTGATAATTCTTGGAAAGCATTTCTAGGAGAATTCACTCTTCAGCTTCTTCCTGAACAGTGTTTAATTGAAAATTTTTCTGAAAAGAGTTTTACACTGACAAGTTCCGAGCTGAGCAATCAGTTCCTGATCTATGTTCATTCAGGATGTGAAAATGTAAAGAAAAAAGAAAGAGGACTCAATGAGCCAGTCAGTATCTGTGACAAGGGAATTCAAGTGGAGTCGTCCTTCAGCAGTGAAATGTTAGAAGATTTGGGATGGCTGCAAAAGAAGAAAAGAATCAAACTTTACCAAAAACCAGAAGAAAATAACATTATCAAGGTATCAATTTATATGGTGTTTATATAAGGTTCTTCTGCATTGGATACCCCATTTTGGAATTAACTTAGAACGAAGCTCTATAAAGCCAGCGATAAGCGTTTCATTATTAAGTGTCAAAGTACACTTCATTGGGAGCATTCAATAACTATAAAAATATATGTACATATATATTTTATATATCATCGCCAATCATTTCCAGGCTGTACTTTTGGGGATCTTCCTGATTTCACCCTTTCCAGCTGTACTCTCAGTGACTTGTTCTGATCTTCGTTATCTCTTTCTCTTCCAGTAGCAATCCTTTCATCATTGCCCTTTCAGTTCTTTCATCTCCTTTGTCTCTGGGCTGGTATGATATGAATGCAAATGGAATTCTAGTCTATTTATGCCTACAGAATTAACTATAATTTGGCATATAAGTCTCTCCTTTGATAGGCCTTTGTCTCCTCCAGCTTTATCTGTCTCCTTCTCAACTCTTTATCACTCTGCTCTTTATTCTGTCCCAGAAACTACAAATTTATTTGTTTCCTGCATTCACCCTGATGTCTTTCTGCATCTGTGCTTTTGCTCTCATACTTCCCTCTGCCTGGGCTGTTGCTTCCTCATCCCTCAAAACTCCTGGTCATTCCTCAATGTGAAGCTCCTTCATCTGAGGAGATCTTTTCTTAAACTCCATGGATGGTGTTACATGCTCTTCCCCCATAATACCTGACGCACATGCTTATTTTTGCCTTTATTGCTTGTAGTGTACTTCCATTTTAGATCTCCCCTCCCCCCTGCACTCGACTATGAAGTTTTTTTAATCTTCACAGCCCAGTAGAATACCAAATACTAAACAGATATTCAGCAAATGGATGAATAAATTTATGATTCATTTCAGGCTTTGCTATTCACTAGCCAAGTAACTTTTTGTGAATCGTTTAGACTCTAATTTCAGCTTCTTTCCATATGAAATGTAAATAATACTCATTCCTTTAATCTCATACAATTGTGCTGAAAATCAGGGGAGGTAATGTAAGTAAATGTACTTCGAAAACTACAAAGCAAGTTAATATGTCTTCATTCTAATACTTGAAATATACTTGATTCAATACTTGAAATTCTAAAATGTTAAATTCACTTTTGTTCAGTTGAAAACATCATACATGTATGTTATACATTTGTCACACTAAAAAGCAGTTATATCAATAGCCCTATTTATAGCTTCAGAATTGAAGGAAAGGAGAAAATTTAGAAGCATTAGATTATAATTAATTCTTCCCTATACAGTCAAACTCTGCATCCTAGCATCCCCTCTCTGGTGATTGTGAGTGCCACAAATTGTGGCTCAAGTTAAAAACAGATTTAAGAATTTGTGGTTTGTATGCCTGTGTTCTATCCACTTTCCCCCACATCAAGTCTTGATCTCTTCTGTCTTCCCTGATCCCTACTTTTATAAATATTTAAACACTTACTGCTGCAATAGCAAGGCATCTCTAAGCAAACACAGAGCAGAATATAAATAATAATGAAAAGTACTCTTTGCCACTTATTCCAGTGTAATGCTGATTGAATTTTGTTCTTTACTGAAAGAATGAGAGTCTCTCAGTGATCATGGAATCAGGGCTAGCATAATACAGGGAAATGAAGGAAACTGTGTTTGTTGATTATCTACCATTAGGAATTTTTAAAATTATACTAAGTGGGCTATTCATATAGTCTTCTCTCCATTTTGTAAATGACAACATTTGGGTTAAAATCAATCATTTTGTTTGTTCTTTTAGCTCTTAAATATCAATGCCAGTATTAAAATTCAAGTATTTTGACTGGAAAGCTTCATACTACATTGTTTCACCAAAGTTAAGCTGTATAACCTTAATCAGGGCCTATTTTCCTGAACATTTTAGTGTTTGATCTCGGAATAGGGATTAGTAAAACCTCTCTGTGCTTAAGAATCTTCTTGGGGAATCTGTGTTTTTAACCAGCTTCACTGATTATTCTGATGATCATCTAGCTGGGAAATCATTGACTTGGTAGGTAGAATTGGTGTTCTCATCACAGTCTCATAGGTTTAGTTCCAGTTAGGGAAATATTTTTTTCTAGCTACTTAAATGGTGCATCACACATAGTAAGCCCTGCATTTGCAGAATAAATTTGTTATTGAAAGTGGGAATATCTGAGATTTGGTAGGTATATATTTAGAGTCTGTGGGGTACATACTCTGAATACCTTTAAAACTGATGGCGTTAAAAATGTGTTTCTTATATGGTCATAAAAAATGATGTAATACAGTCAAAACTTTTTAATGTTGATTAATTATTTGTAGGTTGGAATTTATCTTTTGGAAGCTGGCCTAGCAAAACCAGATTTTCTGAGTGATGCAAGTTCAAGAATGAAAAAGTTCAATCAACTCATGAAGAGAGTGATGGAAAAGCTATACAATTTTATTATTCCAGGTAATTTTTAAAGTAAACTTTAAAATTGTTGCTCGTGAAGAGGTGTGGATTTCTCCCAAATCCTGTATATAACAACCAGAAAAACAGCTAATAAAACCATAATAAAATTGAACAACCAACATAAAATTGCTATATGACAAAATTATACTTATCTTAAATGCCCCCACTTCTATACTTTTTGTCTTTTTTTTTTTTTTGCTTAATAATATGCTTAGCTTATAGTGTGTACTCAAGAAATGTTGATGGCATCAATAGGCAGAATATAAAGGGATCTGAGCTGATTGGAATTTTTGCATTATTCCTGTGTTTATTTTTTTATTTTGTCATGGCCAGAGATTCTTGGCCGGCCTTTACTCCACCTCTCCTTTGCAGTCTGACAAATAATCTCAAGAGCCTGCTTCCCATAAAGACCAGTTAACTTTGCTACTGTTTCTTGGCAAGAAGTTGCATCCTTGGTCAGGACTGCAGTTTCAGAGTTGTCTGCCATTGGTTCCCAAGGGAGAGTGTGGATGGCTTGCTGCAGCCCATCAGCACGACTGGAAAAACGGCTCAGATTCTCCAAGTCCTGCTCATGGTGGGTCAGCCTTATTTCTGGTGCAAATCAGAACAGTTTTATACTGGGATATCTGGGAAATCAGTTTCTAAGCTTGGTTATTGAGTTGTTTTTCTGCAGTACATTCTTTGTGAAGCTTTATAATACTAATAACAGTAAATCATTTGCATGCTAAAGACATAAGAAAAAGAAAATCACTGGTTTCAGAATTGGAAGGAATGCTTTGAAGTACATCTAGAACTTTTTCAAAGTTATGATAAGAATCCATTATTCTGCCTTTTAAAAATAATAAAATTGGAACTTTTCAAAGGAAAACTTCAAGTATAATTACTAATAATATGCACCTATACTAAAACAGAAATAGCCAAGCATGTAACTACACATTTATTGTAAACTTTTGAAAATCTTAAAAGAACATAATTTTTATTGAGAAAAGTTAGTTGTGTATTTTGTGGTACAGTCTTTGTTTTAAGGCATATGAGGTATGTCCTACAAATGTGTGTAGGCCTGTTTGAAACCATTCAGTAATAAATCATTGGCTACAGGGGCCTTGCAAATTTTTCACGAGTTTGAGGGGTTTGTTTTTTTTCACATTGTAAGCATGAATCTTTTTCCACAGGGCAATTGTGCCCAACAAATGAATCTGAAATTCTTATGAATTTGTATTGGTGGCATAAGCCCTTAATGTCCTAATTGGAGCTGCTGCTGCTGTTACCAAATACCTGTCCTTTTTTAGCATAAGAAATAGAATGGGAAGCTTTTTCTTATTAGATGTAGAAAAATTGTCTGCCTGTGGATTTTTTTAATGTTGTAAAAGTAAAATAAATTATTCTTTTACAAACTGCAATAGATATTCACATTCAGTTCCTCAGAGGTTTATGAAACGTCTACAGTGGGCATAGCACATGCTGGCTGCTCTGAGGAGCTATAAAAACAAAAGACAGCCTTTGCTCTCAAGGAGCGTTAACAGTTCAGTGGGGAAGGGATGAATGCGCACAAGTGATTATACTACGAGAAAGACTGCAGTGTATTGTTATATCCAATGTATGAGAGTGTTGCATGAACACAGAGTATTCTGATCAGGGAAAACAAAATGCCATGAAAAAAGTGTCAGTTATATTATCTTGAAGGTGGAAGCATAGATTTTTGATCAGTCAAAAGGCACACTAAGCAAAGCCCCAGAGTCGGGAGAGTACGTGGTGTGTTCTGGGAATAAGAACTGCTTATAGTTATAAATGTAGATCTTGTTGTTCTGAGTACACTTCTTTTTGGATGTACAGATGTGTTGGAAGAGGATGAGGAAGGTTCCGATAGTGAGCCAGAGGGACAGGACATTGATGAACTCTATCACTTTGTGAGGCAGACACATCAGCAAGAAACTCGGTCCATCCAAGTGGATGTCCAGCATCCTGCTCTGACCCCTGTGTTGAGACCGTACCAAAGAGAGGCTGTCAACTGGATGCTACAACAGGAGCATTTCAAAAGCACCCCTGCTGGTGGCAAGTATAAGATACTTAAAGAAAGGCAAATTGATCAGAGGGATTAAATGAGAGAGTTTGGGTGGAGGAAATCAGTCAGTAAACAAATCATATTGAAAGCCTGGGATAGGATGGGTGTGTTACTGTGAACAAAATTATTTTTTAAGACATCCTTCAAAATTGACACCTAGAGAAATTCATTTATGAGTTCCCTCATCTGTAAAAGTTTGAACTGATTTTTCCAACCAGAGTAAAGGCTGCCTTGATGGAATTTTTAAAAAACCAAGAGATCATTTACATGGCTTTCCAACTAAGAATTGCTTTTGTGACCTGATCAGATGGGAATCTTGCTAATATATGAAAGAAACTGTACAATTTAATTGTGAGTGTTAGGGACAGAAAGCAAGTTTATAAAAGTGGGAGACTTAACATGTGACTAATCTGAGCTTCCTAGTTATACTTATTTTCTTTACTCCACAAAATAAATAATAAAAAGAAATGTCATCTAGTAAGTGTTTTCATAAAAGTAGTCAATTTATGGGAATCATTTGTGTCACTGCTTTATCATTGTCTTCAGGGATGGACACTAGATGAGACTTTTACATGACCCTAGGAAGTGAAGTGCTAACCATTTCTCCTTTTTCCTGTATAGATTTAATTAGTGATGAATATCTCCTCCGTATTTCTCCCACTTTTTTATCCAACAAACTTTTTTAAACTTTTTATTTTGGAAATATCAGTTCATAGCCAATATTATTTCTTACTGTTGCTTCTCCCATATTCTGAATTATTTTGAAGTAGTAACCCCACATGGAGAAGGAAATGGCAACCTACTCCAGTTTTCTTGCCTGGAAAACCCTATGGACATAGGAGCCTGGTAGGTACAGTCCATGGGGTCACAAAGAGTCGGCCACAACTGAGTGACTAAACAGCAACAATAACCCCACATGTTATATCATTTCATCTGTTAATGTTTCAGTTTACTTCATTGAAAGATAAAGGTTTTTTAAACAAATATATATATATATAATGGATTTTGAAACCAAAAGATTTCTCAGTATCACTGTCTCTCTTCCTTCCTAACCCCCTTTCTATTTCTCTCTCTTTAGTTTGTTCAAATCTGAAACCAAATAACATCCATATAGTATTGGAGTTACTTGCTGTCTCTTAAGTTTCTTTTAGTCCACAGGTTTTATTTCCTCTCCTATTTTTTTCTTATATTTGTTGAAGAAATTTTATAGCTCTATAGAATTTCCTACAGGTTATTTTTTTCTCTAAAATAAAATAATTTTTTTTTAACTAAGGAATTTGATTAAGGTGTAACATAAACAGTAAATGCGTAGATCTTAAGGGCACAGTTTTATAAGTTTTGATAAATCTCTGCATCTGTGTAACTAGCAATTCAGTTAAGACATAGAACCAGACTTTCCCAAAAGTAGACACTGGCCACCCATGCCTCTTGAGACTTGAAATGTGACTGTCCAAATTATGTGGTGTAAGTTTAAAATACACACTAGATTTCCGATAGTACAAAAAGAAAAGAATGTGAAATATCTCACTACTTCTTTTTATATTGATTGATTATGTATTGAAATAATAATATTGTATTTTGATTACATTAGACAAAAATATTAAAATTAATTTTACCTGTTTCTTTTAATATTTGTATCATACAATGCTGACAGAAAATATTTCCATCACCCAGCACTTTCCATCATTGCCTAGTCAGTTCTCCTACTTCAACCCCTTCAGGAGGCAACCACTGTCATCATAAATTAGTTTTGCCTGTTTTTGAAACAGACAATGATAAAATATGTCCACTCAGGTGGAGGGGAGTTGCCCTCTTTCAACATAATGTTTTTGAGGTTCATCCATGCTGCATGTATCAGTAATTCATTGTTTTTTGTCCCCAGGCTAGATTTTGTTGATTAAATCACATGTGTCATTTAGTGGTTTTTTTGGTTCTCTGTGGTTCCCATAAATTAAAACTTTTTATCTTTTAATTTTTTTCATTTTATAAAACATATGTCTGTATTCCTACTTCACCTATTAATCACTGAAGAAGGTAACAAAAAATGACTAACCATTTCACTGGAAGTAAAGACATACCTGCAACTCAGCAGTTGGTTTAAACAACTTAAAATATTGAGAAGGGATAGTGGAAGATGCTGGTTGACACAGACTCAGTACTTCATTGCTGTAGTTTGAGATATTTTTTTTTTCCTGTTAAGCCTTTCCTCTACTCAGACCCATATGAAAGGTTAGATCTGATATAAGTTAGTGTATTAGCCCAGTATCATTTATCTGTGAAATTATTTAACAATATAAGGTAACTTCTTAAAGCATGTGTAAAAGACAAGCTGCTTTCATTTATTGGCTAAGCCTTGATGAAATGTATTGGTTTTCTTTTCCTCTGTACTAGTATAATTTGTATATTTTGCTATACTTTGCATAATTAAAATACAACTAATAAATTATAAAGTATCCAATAAAATATAATTGCAGGTGTAACTTGATTTAGTTTTTCTGCCTTATCACTTGCTTCTATGGGAAATATTTGTGTGCTAAGCAAAGGAAGCAAAAACATAATATCTGAAGAATAAAGTGGTGTCCTGGCCTTTTACCCACATGTATGTGCCTTCCCGGGGTATCCTGGCTGTTGACTTACTTTTATTTTGATGTAATTATCTGGCAGAATGGAAAATAAACAGAAAATGGTTTATTTTTCTTGTAGAAAATACCCTACACTTTCTATGGAGAGAAATTGTTACATCTGAGGGTTTGAAACTCTACTACAATCCATACACAGGCTGGTAAGGCAAAACTGCTTGCATGCTTGATATTGAAAACAAATATTATGAAAACCTATATGAGATTGACGGCATATGTCTTAAGCCTTGGCAGTACCTCAAAAAGACATACTAAATTAAAGTCTCATTAGACAGTTTTATAGATAGGATAGACATGGAATTAATAGCACTTGTAATTTTTTGGTAGATAAATGCAGTAGTATAGGCATAAGATGTGTAGTTACTGATATTTAAAGAGATTATAATTTAAGTAAAAATACCACCTTATTATGGGCCAGTTCATTAAATTTGTTAATTGTATTATAAAAGAGTTTTTAAGAATCAATAAATATGATTAGTGAATCAGTAGTTATTGCCATTTTTATTCACAGATTCATAAAGGTCACAGAAGGTAGACATACTTCCCTTTATTTATGGGAGGGAAAAAAATGATGATAGTACCAATTCTGTTTCTGCACACTTAAGTTGTCAACTCAGGCAGCTTTTTTATTCTCACTGTTCTTATATTCATGATCTAGGGATTATAATTGTTGCAACTGAAAGTATAGTTTTAAAAAGCTTAAGACTTTTATGCATTTCTCCCAGTTCTCTTTAGGAACAGGGTGATTTATATTTGCATTCCTATGATGTGTTTTTCTTGTATTTTCCTTTAGCATCATTCGTGAGTACCCAAATGCTGGACCACAGTTGCTTGGTGGGATCTTAGCAGATGAGATGGGTCTTGGAAAGACAGTGGAAGTTTTGGCTCTGATTCTGACACATACTCGACAAGATGTCAAACAAGATGCTCTCACTCTTCCTGAGGTAGGAGGAGTACTACAGGGCTTGGGAAAGCAGAGCATATGTTCTCCAGAAAGCATCGTATGTTGAACATTTGGTCGGCACTTAAGTCAACACTTTTAGTTTCTTCTGTGGCTTATGACTTGTATTAGTTGTTAACTTCACATAGGCACAGAAAATGGGATATTTGTGACCTGGCAAAGTTTTTTAAAGTGATATTGGCCAATCACGAAGGGGATAGATATGCTGTTATTTATCAAGCTTCCTTCTAGTTGGCAGAGAAATTCTCTTAGGAAAGCTTGATTACTTCCTCAAATGTTTTGTCACTTCTTCAGATCTCCACACCACTGCTACATATTTTTGAGAGCTATTTTTCAAAAATTGTGCAAATCTCAGATATATAAATCTTGGGGTCAAATAATTAGAACTTTGTTAAAGGGTAAATAGCTAAGTAAGTAGATTTCTCAATGAAAGGAACAAATGAAACAAACAAAATTTCTCAGTAAACAAAGTCTTGACTCTAAAATGTATGTGTGTTAGTTGCTCTGTTTAGTTCAGTCACCCAGTCATGTCCGACTCTTTGTGACCCCATGAACTGCAGCACGCCAGGCCTCCCTGTCCACCACCAACTCCCGGAGTCCACCCAAACGCATGTCCGTCGAGTTGGTGATTCCATCCAACCATCTCATCCTCTGTCGTCCTCTTCTCCTCCTGCCCTCAATCTTTCCCAGCATCAGGGTCTTTTCAAATGAGTCAGCTCTTCACGTCAGGTGGCCAAAGTATAGTCCAGCTCTCACATCCATACATGACTACTGGAAAAACCATAGCCTTGACTAGATGGACCTTTGTTGGCAAAGTAATGTCTCTGCTTTTTAATGTGCTGTCTAGTTTGGTCGTAACTTTCCTTCCAAGGAGTAAGCGTCTTTTAATTTCACGGCTGCAGTCACCATCTGCAGTGATTTTGGAGCCCAGAAAAATAAAGTCAGCCACTGTTTCCACTGTTTTCCCATCCATTTGCCATGAAGTGATGGAACCGGATGCCATGATCTTAGTTCTGAATGTTGAGCTTTAAGCCAACTTTTTCACTCTCCTCTTTCGCTTTCATCAGGAGGCTCTTTAGTTCTTCTTCACTTTCAGCCATAAGGGTGGTGTCATCTGCATATCTGAGGTTATTGATATTTCTCCCGGCAATCTTGATTCCAGCTTGTGCTTCCTCCAGCCCAGCGTTTCTCATGATGTGCTCTGCATATAAGTTAAATAAGCAGGGTGATAGTATACAGCCTTGATGTACTCCTTTTCCTATTTGGAACCAGTCTGTTGTTCCATGTCCAGTTCTAACTGTTGCTTCCTGACCTGCGTACAGGTTTCTCAAGAGGCAGGTCAGGTGGTCTGGTATACCCATCTCTTTCAGAATTTTCCAGAGTTTTTTGTGATCCACACAGTCAAAGGCTTTGGCATAGTCAATAAAGCATAAATAGATGTTTTTCTAGGACTCCCTTGCTTTTTCGATGAGCCAGCAGATGTTGGCAATTTGATCTCTGGTTCCTCTGCCTTTTCTAAAACCAGCTTGAACATCTGGAAGTTCATGGTTCACGTATTGCTGAAGCCTGGCTTGGAAAATTTTAAGCATTACTTGACTAGCGTGTGAGATGAGTGCAATTGTGTGGTAGTTTGAGCATTCTTTGGCATTGCCTCTCTTTGGGATTGGAATGAAAACTGACCTTTTCCAGTCCTGTGGTCACTGCTGAGTTTTCCAAATGTGCTGGCATATTGAGTGCAGCACTTTCACAGCATCGTCTTTCAGGATTTGAAATAGCTCCACTGGAATTCCATCACCTCCACTAGCTTTGTTCGTAGTGATGCTTTCTAAGGCCCACTTGACTTCACATTCCAGGGTGTCTGGCTCTGGGTGAGTGATGACACCATCATGATTATCTGGGTCATGAAGATCTTTTTTGTACAGTTTTTTTGTGTATTCTGTGTATTCTTGTTAGTCTCTCAGTCATGTCTAACTCTTTGCAACCCCAGGGATTGTAGCTCCCCAGGATTATCTGTCCATGGGATTCTCCAGGCAAGACTAGTGGAGTGGGTAGCCATTCTCTTCTCCAGAGGATCTTCCCAACCCAGGGATTGAACCTGGGTCTCCTGCATTGCAGGTGGATTTCTTTACCATCTGAGCCCCTGGGGAAACCCTCTAAAATGTATAGTTGTGTTTAAAAATATAAATTTTAGAGTTTATAAGAAAAAAAGCTTCACTGAGATGCATAGTTTATAGTTTATATTTTCAGATAATGAAATCGTCAATTAGCACATTAAATCCTGCTGAAATGAGGCCAGGGTCTACCATGCTTGCAACCTTAGCAGTTATGTGATCTTTTGATGGGGTAAAGTTTGCAAAATTATCCTTTCAGATTTGAGTAAGGGATAGAGTAGGGAATGTCTGTTTCCTTTGTAGAGAAATGAGTTGGCATGTACAGTTTTAACTATCAATAACTTCCTTTTGAGGGTTTTCTGCTCATTAGCTGTGTTAATTTTAACTTAATTTGATTGCTATTACAAATTCAGTCGGTTAATACAATTTTAAACAGGCTTAACATGTTAATTTCAGAAATATCACACTTTAAGTAATTTAATATGCATACTTTTTTAAAATGATGGCTAGCTGTTAACTCTGAAATAAAATATAAGATTTGTATGTGTGAATAACATATTTAGCCCTTTCTTTCATAATTTGTTACAACTCTTTTGCATCTCCTTAATAGAAGGAGGGTTAATTTTGTGAAACCACTCAGAATACTGAAAGCAAAACACTGTGTAACTGCTTAATGTTGTTTATATCAGGGAGAAGTGGTAAATTATTTCATTCCATCCCGTTATTCTGGCGGAAATATAAAAAAGACAGAAACCCAGAATATGGAATTTGAACCAAAAGAAAAAGTTCAGTGCCCCCGTAAGTATGAAATCTCTTAAAGATAACACCTTTTGCAGTGATATTTGTTCTAATTCTTATAATCTTTAATAGCAGTATCTTATAATTGTTATGAATAATTGTTTTTACAGTTGTTTATACTTTGCATAAAAGTTTGGTTACAAGGCATATTATCTTAACAAAAGGGCTAGGTAACAAAAGTAAAGATTTATTCTTTGGTTTGACTTGATCCAGACAGTTTTGTTGCTTAATTTGTAGATTAGCAAATTAATGTAATGTAATTTGCTTCTTAAATTATTTTCATTACTGTAATTTATTTCTTAATTTGAGATAAGTTTATTACATATTCTTCAAAATGATGATATACAGACAGCATGTCTTTAATAAATCTTTATTCTTAACATGGTTCTTAATGCACATTAAGATTAACTGAGTTTTATTTTCTTTTCACTTTAATTGTTTTGACTGAGTTAGCGTGTCCTTTTGCATTTAGCTACACGGGTGATGATCCTGACAGCTGTTAAAGAAATGAATGGAAAAAAAGGAGTTTCTATTCTTTCCATCTACAAATATGTCAGTTCTATATATAGATATGATGTTCAGCGGAACAGGAGTCTTCTAAAACGGATGCTCAAATGTTTAATTTTTGAAGGCCTTGTGAAACAGATCAAAGGCCATGGTTTTTCTGGTACTTTTACACTGGGGAAGAATTACAAAGAAGAGGACATACATGATAAAACGAGAAAGCAGGTAATACCGTTTATCAAGTGTGTATGTGATGCTTTACCAAGTAAGTTGACAGACCCCGCCTGTCTAAAGCCAGATGATAAAACAGAAACATTAGGAAAACACTCATGACTATGACTTCTGTTTTCTACTCTCTGAATAAAAGTGCCATCAGAGTAGAAGCTAAAAATAAGTGGTAATTGAGTGGATTATGCAGTTAGTTTGTAAAGCATAACATAGGTTAAAATAACTTTCTTCACCCTCATGCTGTTGTCCGCACTCAAAAAGCATGTTCCATACTTTAAAAATGGTAATACATTACATCTGCGTAACTCTTTACGTATAAGTTCTCATTTTCCCTTGTCATCACCTTTTAAAATGTTTATATTTTGTTATAAAACTTCTGGGCCAGTACTACAGTTTACTTTTAAGAAAATAGTTAAAAATTTGTGAATATAAATCAAGAAAAGACTGATGACAACAATTCAAAATGTAGAGTTACTAGCTTAGCTGCTTTGAAAGAAATGGCAGACCAAGAAGTTCTCTTCCAAGAGTAGTGAGTCTTCAGCATTTTTTCCCCAGCCAGGTGAGAAGACTGCAATGAACTTCTATGCTTTTAATAATCCTTCTGCTACCAAAAAAGGAAAATATCCTTCAGTTAATGCCAATCATTCCATGTTAATGCCATTCATTCCTCTGTTCACCCTTGACTGTGACATCACTTCTAGGAAGGTGCAGATGGCATCTGCCTCCCCAACTTAGTGACTAAACAGACCCTATCTGTTATATAACCCCCTTATGCAATCCTGTAGCATCATTTTAAAGGGTCTTGCTCAGTTGTGTCCTCCTCTTCTGCAACACCATGAATTATAGCCCACCAGGCTCCTCTGTCCATAGGATTCCCCAGGCAAGAATACTGGAGTGGGTTGCCTTTTACTGTTCTCTGTTTTTCCAACAGACTCCTTTGAGACCAGGAGCTAAATATACCTCATACTTACATTCCCAGTATCTAACATGTTGCCTGGCTCAGAATTGGCATTCAATAAGTAATTGCAAGAGGGTACACCAGTAGAAAGGAGAAAGAAAGAAGGAATTTATTTATTTATTGCAATAACTGGTAGATTCATTTTTACTTTGGTTAAAAGCTGTGTTTTAATACTTGATATTTTTATAATTGCCCCTGTTGTTGTTTAGTCACTAAGTCATGTCCAACTCTTTTGTGACCCTGTAGACTGCAGCCCATGGACAGGCCCCTGTATCCATGGGATTTCCCAGGCAAGAATACTGGAGTGGGTTTCCACTTCTTTCTCCAGGGGATCTTTACAGCCCAGGGATTGAACCCACATCACCTTCACTATTGGTGGATTCTTTACCACTGAGCCACCAGGGAAGCCCATAATTACCCTCGTTTGTATCTTTATGTATTATAAACTACCAGTCTTCTGTTGATTTAGACAGACTGTAAATTATAAGAGATTGATAGCAAAATTATTAGCTCCCTTTATTTCTAAGTTTTGTTCCTTCCAAATCTTAATTAAACAACGGTAGAGTTTTCTTTTCCTTTTGGGCCTGCAGGGAGAGGAGTTCATAGAGCAATTTGAAAACCACTGATCAGGAGTGATTCTCCTCAGGGAAAGAGTGACAAAGACTGCCGATGAGATTTTTATGTAAAGCACATGAAGTTGGGTGTTTAATTTTAGCTATGTCATTCCATTGAAATAAATTAAATAAATAATGTTTTTCATAGGCAGTCGGGAGTCCAAGAAAAACTCAGAAAGAATCCAGAAAATCAGGAAACAAGGACACAGACTCTGAATATTTGCCATCAAATACCTCTGATGATGATGATGATCCTTACTATTATTACTGTAAGCCCAGGAGAAACCGTAGTAAGTGGAGGAAGAAACCTGCTCTGTCCACAAAAAGGGAAAAAAGCCAGCTGAGCATCAGTCTCAGCCCACAGGATCACTGCCCACCTACCGCTAACTCTGAAATTACTGATGTTACCACATCTGAAAGTACATGTGTCTTTGAAGTCAGTCAAGAACATTCAGCCAAGGACAAAGCTGAATCTCTAAATCCTGTTGGTGATGACATGCCACACTCCAATATCATGGGTCCCTGTAATTCTCCCGATTACCGCTTTGAGTGCATATGTGGTGAACTTGACCAGGCAGACTGTAAGCCTCGTGTTCAGTGCCTGAAATGCCGCTTGTGGCAACATGCAAAATGTGTGAATTATGAGGAGAAGAATCTGAAGGTTAAACCTTTCTACTGCCCCCACTGCCTTGTTGCAATGGAGCCAGTATCTACAAGAGCAACTCTGATCATCTCCCCCAGTTCCATCTGTCATCAGTGGGTGGATGAAATCAACAGGCATGTGAGGTCATCATCTCTTCGAGTCTTGGTAAGACAGTTTGGACTCTTTAAAGGGATAGGAAAATGTAAATGTTTGCTTATGATAGTTTTTATAATCTTTGTCACCTTGTTTTTATCCCCACAATTAACTTAATGAGATAATAATATTAAGTCAGAACTCAAAGAGGAAATTAAGAATAAGAAAAAATACAGTAGACTGCTTATTCTTTTCTGACATTAAAAGTTAAAGCACTTTGAGTGGAAAGTTATGAAAGTTTTTGAAAAAGTCCTTAATCATGTAAGCGAAAACATCTTTGTATTCAGAAATAAATGCAATTCAAAGGCAGCATTGCTTAATAGTTATCTGCTTATATGATCCTTTTAGCTCCAGAATCTTCCCCTGAAGGCTCAGTTACCCCTTCTGTAAAATAAGAATTTACTCATTCAACAAATATTTAGTGAACACCTACTGTGTGCCAGAAATTGTGCTAAGTTCTAAAAGTTGTACCCCCACACACTTTTTGTGAAGATTAAATGATTTGATAAAGTACTGGCACATAGTGAGTGTTCGTTTAATGTTATTGTTCACTACGGTTAGTATTTTTTACACTTTGTATTCTTCTTTTCTTCTTTTTTTTACACTTTTACACTTTTTTTCTTCTTCTTTTTATACTTTATATTCTTCTTTTCTTCTTTCCAGTAACACAAATGTTACTGGAGATTTTCTATAGTTCAGCCACTGTGATAGGCATGTATAATACAGTAGTTTATAAAACACCATCTTTGCCACTGAGGAGCTCTGTTCTGTAAAGAGGGCAAACCTTGGTTTGTATCCTGACTCTACTAGTTTTGAGTAAGTCACTTCATGTTTCCTATGTGTGAAATAGGAATAACAACAACTAACAGAGTTGTTGTTAAAGGTGGGAGATAAAACTTTGCAGTGCTAAAACTTAAAAGGCATTCAGTAAATATTGCTGTTCTACTTTCTCACAACATTGTGCTTTTGCACAGACTATTGATTCCATCTACCCACCTACCTTTCTTCCCCTTTCTTCCACCCATGAAAACTCCTGAGTGTACTTCAAGATCTACTGCAAATTTGAATTCCTCTCTGAATTTACCTTCTTAATCATAAAATTGGTCTCCACTGTGATGCTATCGCGTTTACTTCTGTTACAGTTCCTTTTCCATTGCTTATGTTTTTAGTCTTCCACACTAAAATGCATGTTTCTCTAAATAGGTCTGGGATGTATCTTATAGGATGTTTGGTTATAAACAGAAAGGGCTTGGTAAGGGTATAAATGAATGTCTGTGATTATATCCTAGGTATATCAAGGAGTGAAGAAAGATGGTTTTTTACAGCCTCATTTTTTGGCAGAACAGGATATAGTCATCATTACTTACGATGTCCTCCGTTCAGAACTGAACTATGTAGACATCCCACACAGCAACAGTGAGGATGGGCGTCGCTTAAGGAACCAGAAGCGCTACATGGCTATTCCCAGTCCTCTTGTAGCTGTGGAGTGGTGGAGAATCTGCCTTGATGAAGCTCAGATGGTCGAATGTCCTGCTGTAAAAGTGAGAATTTCTGCAGAATCGCTTGAGGGCTGGGGAAGAGACTGGAGGAAACTGTTCATAGGAAATTTAATAGTTTACGTGTAGTTTAACCCACAGTATTGACATTTGGCAAAAGTTTGCCTTTGGACACTCTGCATTTGCTTTCTCTTGTGCATGAGCTATATAATCCTTAGGAATTATTTGGTACTCGGAATCATTGCTCTGTATGAAAAGTTCATTTATATTTGAACAAGATGGTAGTTTTTATGTGATGTAGATCTAAGTAAACTCTACTTAGGGACTTCTATCATCATTTCTGCTACATGGAGTGCTCACCATACAGGCTCTGGTAACTGACAGCTTTTTATCAGAGACCAAATGGTAATGGAAAAATGCTAAAGGAAAAACTTTTATTCAGACTTCACTGTATATCTTTATTCTGTCTTCTTTGCCCAGTCTGTGACCTGAACTGAATTTATGAGTCATGCCTATTAGCACAGTGGTTCTTCTCATCTGGAGGATGGGGTGGTCTAGGGAATATATCACTCAGTTGGGGCATTTTCATTCTATCCATACATGAACTTCCTTTCCTCTTTGAAAGGACACATGGCAGCCTCCTGCTAATAAGAGCCCCAGACTAGAAGATAGCCCACTGAATACGATGTTCAGTGTTGAGTGGGATAACTGTTCTGTAAGGGCAAATGCGTCTGACCGGAAGCCTGGGCTGGAGAGCTGTTTTCATAAGTAAATGCAATCCTTCTGTGTTTTTCTGTGTCTCTCTTTTCGTTCTCTCCCATCAGGCTGCAGAAATGGCTCAGCGCTTGAGTGGGATTAACCGCTGGTGCATCAGTGGCACTCCGGTACAGAGAGGATTGGAAGGTAATGGATGGTTTCCTCACATATTGCATTTATTTGAAAAACTTAAATTTTTTGAGCAAAAAGTATTGCTTAACTTTTGCTGAAATCCTTAAGTGATTATGCATATATTAAAATATATTTATATTTGATCCGAATAGTTTCAGACATCTGCCTTTTTAAATGGAATCAAGTGCTTTTTGTTTATATATAGATATGAAGACAGATATGTAGTGAGTAGTCCTACTGTCCTGATTTGAGCAGTTGCTGTACCTGCCTGAACACTGTAGACATAGGTCTGAATTGAACTCAAAGTTCCAAAATGGGGAGTAGAAAACAGGGAGAGCGTGACAAGAAAGAAAGAGGGAAAGAGAGAAGAAAAAGGAATTAGTTTCACTTGGCTGTGTCTATAAAGATAAGGACTTCCCACTCACACATTTTAACTGATGCTTCTGCATCAGTCTCATTCATATAACTAATTTTTTCCATAGAACATAGACAACATTTTTAAAACTTTTGTCCAAGTTGCAAATATTTGCGACTAAAAGTTTAAATAAGTAATGTTGGTTTACATAATAAATTTCTTGAAAAACTGCCACTGAAATGTTGTTTAACTATAAAAATATAAATATCCTTAGTCCTATGGCAGATATTCATCTTCAAAACCTATCATTATTGAAAATTCAGATTTTCATGTATCATTTGTTCTTAGCAGGGTAACTTACCATTCTGCTAAAGTAAAAATATCAACATCTATTACAGTGACCTGAGAAACACTATTTTTTTGATGATTATTTTTAGGGGAAAAAGAGATTTTTATGAAAATGTTTAAGTATTAAATACCTGTGTAATTTTAGTAAGTTACATTAAGATACATATTTGTAGAATAATATGAGGCTAATTAAAAGGCCAAATTAAGTGGTCTCCTGTTACATTGGAAACTGTCTAATATGTTGATATTTAGGTGTTAATAAGATCTCATTGAACTCAGAAGTTAGCTAAGAAAGTATAGAGAAAATGCCTATCACAGTCACTTTATTCTCATTTTAATCTTAAAAGAATATGAGCAGTAATTCTGCAGTTCCCTGGGTACTTAATTTGGGATGAATAAGATGTTGGCAGGTGTTTTGAGTATCTGGCACCCTTTAACAAATTTTTGATTAATTTTTTAAACAGCTTTATCAAGGTATGAATGACATATAATGAAACTATAAATATTTAAAACATAAAATTTGTAAACTTTTAACATATATATTTACCAGTGAGTGTATTTCCACAATCAACATAATGATGCCCAAAGTTTTCTCATGTCCAAGTTACCTTAAAAAATAGCCTTTCCTGAATGTCTGGAAATTTAGTTTATTTTTCATCTTTGCTTCCATGATTCTCTGATATCTTTAATGCTATCACTCTTATAATGTATCTGATTTTTTGTATTTTTGTGTGTTAAACTGCAGTGGGAATGTTAGCCTGATGTGACTTCAGTTCAGTTCAGTTCAGTGCCTCAGTCATATCCAACTCTTTGCAACACCAGGGACTACAGCACACCAGGCCTCCAAGTCCATTACCTCTCCTGAAGTTTACCCAAACTCATGTCCACTGAGTCGGTGATGCCATCCATTTAGTCGATGATGCCATCCAACCATCTCATCCTGTGTCGTCCCCTTCAATCCTGCCCTCAATCTTTCCCAGCATCAGGATATTTTCAAATGAGTCAGCTCTTCGCATCAGGTGGCCAAAAGTATTGGAGTTTCAGCTTCAACATCAGTCCTTCCAGTGAACACCCAGAACAGATCTCCTTTAGGATGGACTGGTTGGATCTCCTTGCTGTCCAAGGGACTCTCAAAGAGTCTTCTCCAACACCACAGCTCAAAAGCATCAATTCTTGAGCACTCAGCTTTTTTTATAGTCCAACTCTCACATCCATACATGACTACTGGAAAAACCATAGCTTTGAGTAGATGGACCTTTGTTGGCAAAGTAATGTCTCTGCTTTTTAATATGCTGTCTAGGTCATAACTTTCCTTCCAAGGAGTAAGCATCTTTTAATTTCATGGCTGCAATCTCCATCTGCAGTGGTTTTGGAGCCCCGAAAAATAAAGTCAGCCACTGTTTTCATTGTTCCCCATCTGTTTACCATGAAGTGATGGGACTGGATGCCGTGATCTTAGTTTTCTGAATATTGAGCTTTAAGCCAACTTTTTCACTCTCCTCTTTCACTTTCATCAAGAGGCTCTTTAGTTCTTCTTCCCTTTCTGCCATAAGGGTGGTGTCATCTGCATATCTGAGGTTATTGATATTTCTCCCAGCAGTCTTGATTCCAGCTTGTGCTTCTTCCAGTCCAGTGTTTCTCATGATGTACTCTGCTTGTAAATTAAATAAGCAGGGTGACAAAATACAGTCTTGACGTACTCCTTTTCCTATTTGGAACCAGTCTGTTGTTCCATGTCCAGTTCTAACTGTTGCTTCCTGACCTGCATACAGGTTTCTCAAGAGGTAGGTCGTGTAGTCTGATATTCCCATCTCTTTCAGAATTTTCCACAGTTTGTGATCCACACAGTCAAAGGCTTTGGCATAGTCGATAAAACAGAAATAGATGTTTTTCTGTGGAACTCTCTTGCTTTTTTGATGATCCAGCGGATGTTGGCAATTTGATCTTTGATTCCTCTGCCTTTTCTAAATCTAGCTTTAACATCTGGAAGTTCACGGTTCATGTATTGCTGAAGCCTGGCTTGGAGAATTTTGAGCATTATTTTGCTAGTGTGTGAGATGAGTGCAATTGTGTGGTAGTTTGAGCATTCTTTGGCATTGCCGTTTTGGAACTGGAATGAAAACTGACCTTTTCCAGTCCTGTGGCCAGTGCTGAGTTTTCCAAATTTGCTGGCATATTGAGTGCAGCTCTTGCACAGCATCATCTTTTAAGATTTGAAATATAAAAATAATTCATTTGAATCAGTTCTAATGAGATGGATGAAACTGGAGCCCATTATACAGAGCGAAGTAAGCCAGAAAGATAAAGACCTTTACAGTATACTAACACATATATATGGAATTTAGAAAGATGGTAACGATAACCCTATATGCAAAACAGAAAAAGAGACTCAGATGTATAGAACAGACTTGTGGACTCTGTGGGAGAAGGCAAGGGTGGGATGTTTCAAGAGAACAGCATCGAAACATGTATATTATCTAGGGTGAAACAGATCACCAGCCCAGGTTGGATGCATGAGACAAGTGCTCGGGCCTGGTGCACTGGGAAGACCCAGAGGGTTGGGGTGGAGAGGGAGGTGGGAGGGGGGACTGGGATGGGGAATACATGTAAATCCATGGCTAATTCATTTCAGTGTATGACAAAAACCACTGCAATGTTGTAAAGTAATTAGCCTCCAACTAATAAAAATAAATGGAAAAAAAAAAAAGATTTGAAATAGCTCAACTGGAATTCCATCACCTCCACTAGCTTTGTTCATAGTGATGCTTCCTAAGGCCCCCTTGACTTCACATCCCAGGATGTCTGGTTTTAGGTGAGTGATCACACCATCGTGATCATCTGGGTCATGAAGATCTTTTTTGTACAGTTCTTCTGTATATTCTTGCCACCTCTTCTTAATATCTTCTGCTTCTGTTAGATCCATTCCATTTCTGTCTTTTATTGAGCCCATCTTTGCAGGAAATGTTCCCATGGTATCTCTAATTTTCTTGCAGAGATCTCTAGTCTTTCCCATTCTATTATTTTCCTCTATTTCTTTGCACTGATCACTGAGGAATGCTTTCTTATCTCTCCTTGCTATTCTTTGGAACTTTGCATTCAAATGGGTGTATCTTTCCTTTTCTCCTTTGCTTTTCATTTCTTTTCACAGCTATTTGTAAGGCCTTCTCAGACAGTCATTTTGCTTTTTGCATTTCTTTTTCTTGGGGATGATCTTGCTCCCTGTCTCCTGTACAGTGTCACAAATCTTGGTCCATAGTTCTTCAGGCACTCTGTCTATCAGATCTAGTCCCTTAAATCTATTTCTCACTGCCACTGTATAATCATAAGGGATTTGATTTAGGTCATACCTGAATGGTCTAGTGGTTTTCCCCACTTTCTTCAATTTAAGTCTGAATTTGGCAATAAGGAGTTCATGATCTGAGCCACAGTCAGCTCCCAGTCTTGTTTTTGCTGAGTGTATAGAGCTTCTCCATTTTTGGCTGCAAAGAATATAATCAGTCTGATTTCGGTGTTGGTCATCTGGTGTGTAGAGTCTTCTCTTGTGTTGTTGGAAGAGGGTGTTTGCTATAACCAGTGCGTTCCCTTGGCCAAAGTCTGTTAGCCTTTGCCTTGCCTCATTCAGTACCCTAAGGCCAAATTTGCCTGTTACTCCAGGTGCTTTTTGACTTCCTACTTTTGCATTCCAGTCGGACATCTTTTTTGGGTGTTAGTTCTAAAAGGTCTTGTAGGTCTTCATAGAACTGTTCAACTTCAGCTTCTTCAGCTGACTTACTATGTTGTATTTGGAAGTAGAAGTCTCATTTGTTTTCTTTTTGTGTTAGACCATGGTTTCTCCACCTTAGCCCCATTAACATTTTGAGTCAGATAGTTCATTTTTATTAGGAGCTGTTCTGGGTATTTTGGATATTGAGCTTTTACACGCCTGATGCTGGTAGTGTTCTTGCAGTTGTGACACCCACAATTGTCTCCATTCATTGCCAAATGTCCCCAGTGGGCAAAATCACACCCTTCCACCCCAGTTAACAGCTACTCTGCTAGACTGATAGAGATAAATCAGATTTGATGATTTATTTATTAACAACATTTGTTTTTGCTCCATGGTAAAGTCAAAAATTTTAAGTCAGACCATCATAAGTCAGAGACTATCTGTATTCTCAACGTGCTTTTTTTCTTTCTTTTCAGATCTTTTCGGGTTAGTGGTATTTCTCGGTGTTGAACCTTACTGTGTCAAACACTGGTGGGTTCGACTTCTCTATCGTCCTTATTGCAAGAAGAATCCTCATTTCCTCTACAGCTTTATTGCCAAGATAATGTGGAGGTCTGCAAAGAAAGATGTGATTGACCAAGTCAGTAGGATAAGTATTTATTGATTAAGGGTATTAGGAAAAAATTTAAGAAAAAGCAGAATTGGGGTGAAAAGTTAAATTTCCAGATGACTTTTTTTTTTCCTCCTCTGTTTAGATCCAGATACCCCCACAGACAGAAGAAACCCACTGGCTTCACTTTTCTCCAGTGGAAAGACACTTCTATCACCGTCAGCATGAGGTGTGCTGCCAGGATGCAGTGGTAAAACTCAGGAAGATTTCCGACTGGGCTCTGAGGCTCAGCAGCCTGGACAGAAGGACTGTCACCTCCATCCTGTATCCGTTGCTGAGGCTCCGGCAGGCCTGCTGCCACCCACAGGCGGTTCGTGGCGAGTTCTTGCCACTCCAAAAAAGGTTTTGTTATCAGTTTTCTTATACTGTAAGAGATAATAGAGTAGTAATGGACATTACTGGGGGAAGGAAATGGCATCCCACTCCAGTATTCTTGCCTAGAGAATCCCATGGACAGAAGAGCCTGGTGGGCCGCTGTCCATAGGGTCGCAGAGAGTCGGACACGACTGAAGCGACTTAGCTTGCATGCATGCATAGACAGTATTAAAGCAGTTAGCTTCCTAGCACACAGTTTCATTCAGGGTCTTAGGACTGAGTTGTCATCTGTTTTTAGCAGTGTAGTGATTTTTCTTCAATATGCAACCCCATTTGTGAAAGAGAATCACATCAAAATTATTTTCATGGTTTTGAACATTTTTTTAGGACTGTTGAAGGGTTTTGTCGTTTTTGGGGCTTTTGTTTGTTTATTTATCTTCTGCTGCACTCCAGATGTGAAATTGTTCATTTTGCGTTATATTTTTTGGTTCTGACATCGGGGATTTAGGTGAATTAGATTCCTATTAAATATTTTCTTTATAATTATACTAGCTGTGTTCCTTGATTATTCTTTTCAGTACTCTGCTGTCCCAGAAAATTTGTTTGTTCATCAAACTGTGATAGGAACTAGCCTCTTTTTTTTTTAAGGCCTTGATATTAAAAAGCTATCCTTTCAAGTGCTATAAGAAATATAAAGAGGAATTTGACTCTTATCCTTGCCTTTGAGCAGTTTGTATGTAACTAAAGGCAATGACAAAGATTAGTGAAAGTGTAAAGTGAAAGTGTTAGTCGCAAAGTGAAGTCTGACTCTGCAACCCATGGACTGTAGCCTAATAGGCTCCTTTCTCCATGGGATCCTCCAGGCAACCTGGAGTGGGTTGCCATTCTCTTCTCCAGGGGATCTTCCTTTCACAGGGATCAAACAAGGTCTTCTGCACTGTAGGCAGATTCTTTACCATCTGAGCCATCAAACAAAGTTTATAGATCTCTATAAGGTAAAGAAAACATGATGTATTTCACAAGAGGTATATATGAGTTGCTGTGGGGCTTCCCCGGTAGCTCAGACAGTAAAGAATTCGTCTGCAGTGCAGGAGATCTGCCTTCAGTCCCTGGGTTGGGAAGATGCCCTGAAGAAGGGAATGACTGCCCACTCCAGTGTTCTTGCCTGGAGAATCCATGGACAGAGGAGCCTGGCGGGCTACAGTCCACGGGGTTGCAAGAGTCAGACATGACTGAGCGACTTCACCACCACAACCACCACTTTGCACTTTAGGAAGATTTTTCTAGTTCTGCTCTTCATTGACTGAAGTGAGAAAAAGTTAAAGAATGAGAGGATCAAAAGAAAGCTTGCTAGAATAGGAAACTAATAATGGAGGTAAACAGATATCAAGGATCACAAAGACTCTGTAAGAGACTGGTACTCTTGATCTCATGTAATATTATTCTCTCACTTGGAATCTTCTTTCTAGTTCTGAACGACCTGCCTTTTCTTTTAGCACCATGACAATGGAGGAGCTGCTGACATCCCTGCAGAAGAAGTGTGGCACTGAATGTGAAGAGGCCCATCGGCAGCTAGTCTGTGCCCTCAATGGTTTAGCAGGCATCCACATCATTAAAGGTAGAAGGTGATGCTTTGTTATCTTCAATTCTTCTCAATGCTTAATGAGGAAGATTAGTTATAATGTAAATCAGAGTCTCCCCAGAAAGACACTTTCACACAGTATTAATCATAATTTAAATAGGTCCAACTTAATGGAGAGCAGTTATACAGAACATTTGCAAAAAAGAAATTTCAATATGCTTTCACCAAACATTTCCACTTTTAGAAGTTTTTTTGTGTGAACAATCAAAACAACCAAAATAGTGAACAACTGAAACAACCAAAATGCCTAGAAATAAAATGGTTAAATTGACACATTCAAGTGAATGTTGGTCATTGACTTACAGAGTAGTATCACTTGTAAGTTCAATCTCCCAACAAATATTCGAGTATTTGCTGTGTGCTGGTTATGATTTATGGACTAAAAATAATGCAGTAAAATAAGTGTCAGTCTAGCCTCATATTTGAAAAATTATCATTTTTCTATAAGCATTTTATAGTATAAATAATACTATTATATATATATATTCTGTTTTATCCTCATGATTGCCCAATAGTTTAGTCATTACCATCCCTATTTTTTTTTTTTTTGAGAAAATGGGTTCAGAAGGCTTAGTTGCTTTCTTAAGATTACAGCTAGAAAGTGACAAAGAATTTGCCCTGGATCTCTTGATTTCACATCAGATATTTAATTTTTTTATTATACTATGTCCTCTTCTTTATCAAATAGGCATTTGTAAACCTCAGTATTATACTATATTGCAGGCTGCAACTCACCATCAAAAATTTCTGGTGTTGAGTGATATGTCACTTGTAAATGGTCACAATAATAAATTTCAGATTTCCCAACTTGATTACGAACTGCATTTCTCATTTTATTCTGTGTTGTTATGACTCAGAAGCTTAGACAGTAAATGAATTTCTTCACTTGGCCTTTTTTCTAGTCTCCTTGTCAGACTTGTCTCTTTACCCCTGCGGTGAAATTATGCACAATATGGGAATTAGGGGGAGGGTTACTCATCCGATCATTGCCCAAACACTGTAGCACTCTGACAGGTCAGCATGTGACTGGCTCCTGCGTGGCAAAATACGTGCTATAATGTAGCCGAAGGTGCGTCTCTGCTCTTTTCAGGGCGTTTCCACTGCGTGCTCACCCTAGGTGTTTGTCTGTGGCTGGAAACAATTGCTGCTTGTTAAGAATTCCTATTAGAAAGTCTGTTAATAAATGGTATGTCTGTTCTCATTTAATTGTAATTATAAACTTAACTGTGGGGGATTAACTGCTTTTAGTTTCTAGTTTAATTCATAGTAGTATATTAAACAATACACATTTTTAAAAGTAACATCACATATTTAACTTATATAATTTAAACTCTTCTAATATTAGAGACCAGATAGTAAAGAGATGACTTCTAAATGAAATCTAAAATTAATATCAAACTCTAAAGGGATTCACATATTATATGCAAATATACATATATATGATATACAGTGTATATTTTAAGGTCCTCACTGATTATGGTGTTAAAAACATGATGTTATTTCAATTTTGTGTCCTATATACATAAAATATATATATGTGTGTGTATCTACACACACACACACACACACACACACACACTTATGTATAATATAGAAGTTTTAGGTTCACTTTTCTGAGAAAGAAAGCTTTTTTCCTGATCATCACATACATTTTTCATTTCTACATGTGTTTTTTTGGAAAAAATTAGTTTGGCAGTATCAAACCAGTACACCTTGTGTAGTTGTTAATATATTTAGTGCCATCAAGTGGCAAAGAATGGGTATTTCCATATTTGGCTTATATTTGCATAGCTTATTGAATATATAAAAATATTTTTTTTTCATTATAAAAAATCATTTTTTTTACTAAGCAGTGAAAATAAAACAGATATTGTAATGAATAGCTCAGTTTCATCTGCTTTTATTATAGTCTAGTCATTGAACCTTCTTTAAAAAGTATAATAATTATAAAGAGAAAATTGTTAAATGAATTATTCTTTATGACAGTATAAATATTAATAGAATCCATATGTCTTTTGAAAAGCTAAAGAGAGCTCATTGTGTGAAGATAATTGTGTTATTCCTACATTATAATGCAACTTTATTATTGTGAAAGTAATATGCTTTATAAAAATGAATAGAGATTAGATAACTTGTCAAGAACTGTGAAAATGTGTGCTTTAGAAAGCTTTATATTAAATAACTGGTAGAACTAGATATAAAGCAGTGGTATAAAAGCTAGTGTTTTGTGCAACAATATGAATGTACTTAATGCTGTTGGACTACACTCTTAAAAATGGTTGAAATGAAAAAAAAAAATGGTTGAAATGGTAAATTTTATTTTATGTATACTTTACCACAATAAAATATACGTATATGGAATCAGCTTTAACAGAGAGAAAGTGTGTGTGTTAGTCACTCAGTCATGTCTGACTCTCTGCAACCCCGTGGATTATTCTGTCCATGGAATTCTCCAGGCAAGAATACTAGAATGGGTTGCCATTCCCTTCTCCAGGGGATCTTCCTGACTCAGGGATCAAACCCAGATCTTCCGCATTGCAGGCAGATTCTTTACAGTCTGAATCACCAAGCACACATATGTGTATGGAATATTCATTATGGCTTTGAGCAAAGTTTTAAATCCATGATATTAATGAAACTGGTTTAAAGTTTAAAATAGGCAAGTGTATGCAACGATCAGGATAAAAGCTTTTTCCTCAGCAAACTGAAACTGGAACACCTCTTGGTCTTTTTCTCCTTGTGTTTCATGATTTTGCCACTGTTAGATTTTAATTTTAATTGTATGTATAAATTACTGGTTTTGAGTTTTTCCCCAGGCAGCAAATAAGATAGGTTCCATAATTCAGAGCCATTAAAAATGTTTCGCCTCTCCTTCACTGAAGTCTAATGAAACTTTCTGAAAGAATCAGGTAGTAAATATTTTAGGCTTTGTGAGCCATAAGATTTGTGACAACTATTGTCACAGTTACAGCTATTGTAATACAAAAGCAGCCACAGACAGTACGTGAAGTCCGCGTGACTGAGTTCCACTAAAGCTTTATTCATGGGCCCTTAGATTTAATATCATGTAATTTTCACATGTCACAAAATAGTATTATTTTAGTTTTTATTTCAACTATTAAAAATGTAAAAAAAAAAATTCTTACTGTGTAGACCCTACAAAAATACAGTCAGATAAGACCCATGGGCCATAGTTTGTCAGCTTGTTCTTTTATACTTTGTTTATGACTTTATTTGTATGAGCTACTTTTTAGGTATAACCAAAAAAAGCATAAATCTCTTAGAATAACTGTGAATTATATAACCAGAAATAGAAAGAATTCTAAATTTTTGAAATATAGTTATAAACTGTAAATCATTCTGGCCTAATACCAACAGAAACAATACCTATCAAAAAGAGTGCATTATTTTTCTGAGAGGTACGTGTACATTGGTCGTAGTGCTTTGAATATTTGTTTATAAACACATGTAAGTACCCTAAATTTGTCCTTAATTTCAAACATCCTAATGACTACTGCTTGGAAGTCATTAACTTCAACAAGAAGAAAACATTAGTTTAAAAGTTAGAGTTTGTTTTTTAGCATAATTTTAAAACATTGTAGTTGATTGATGTTCTATTTCTGTGAATTTTAACCCCCAAGAAAGAGTGCTATAAACTTTTTTTACTGGGGCAGTCGTATTAATACCAACTCAAATTCCTTTTCATAAAAAATAAATTAGGGAGTTCTAATCAATGCTGTGTTTTTACAGTAGGTGTTTTTAGATGACTTTGAGAGCTAAATACATGATTTTCTTATTCTTTAAATGTATTTTGATTGTCCAGGCGAGTATGCTTTGGCAGCAGAACTATACAGAGAAGTGTTGCGTTCATCTGAGGAACACAAAGAAAAACTCAAAACGGATTCACTGCAAGTAAGTAAAACTAAACAGTTTCAAACTATTTAATCTTTGTAAAATACATTTTCTGAATATTTAAGAGGACGAACGGTAGCAAGTGGAGTGAGTCACAGTCACTGGGGATAAAGCTTAGAATTCATGTTCTCTTAACAAGCATCCAGGATGTCTTTGTGTATAGACCCAAAAGTTTGAGAATCATTAATATGCTATCTACTTAGGCTAGTATTGACCACAAGGCTGACTAGATAAGCCTAACCTACATTAGAAAAGCAGCTCAAAACATTTGTATTTCAAAAGAACGGCATCAGTTTTATCACTTTTGCATATTTACATCAGCATATTTATTTACATGATATTCAGCAAAAAAAGAAATTGAGTTACACTCAGCAGTGGAATTAAGTAATAATAATACTTATCCAATGGTCTTTTAATTTAGTTTTTGGAGGTCTTTTAGGGAGATTTGGATATTTGAATTGTAACACTTATGTGTGAAATATCCTCTTCTTTATTCTATCAGTGGATCATATAGACAAGACTCTCTAGCTAAATGATAAATAAGGTCCCTTTTATGAATCCTGGTAAATTTAGGCTTGAGTCCCAGGTGAGGCTTCTTTTTCACTGTTCAGAACCTAGACCTCGGAACCTCATGTTCACCTGTGTCTGAGCAGGTGTTAGGAGGAGTGTATGGGGGAGGGGGAAGAGGAGAGAAAATTAAATACTAGTATGCATGGATGAGGATTACAGAAAGTTTTGGACCTTAAGCAAATGTGTTTACCTTATGAGAGAAGGAGAAAGTGCAAAGATACTGTGCTCCTGAGTAAAGGAAACAAAAGTGAACAGGCATGTCCAGTGTACCTGAGTTCAAGAGTGAAGAGTAAACCATCAGTCAGCCTGGTTCTTGCTTTGAGTCAGAGTAACCTAGCCTGCTGACCAAACATAACCCACCGAATGTCTAACTCTGTCCAGTCAAATGAGCCGCTCTGCTCTGTCGGGATAAAATGTGACAGAGAGAGATACGTGTTCCTCCCAGTCCATTCCACCAGCTTCTGCAGAAAGCAGCAGAAACCTCAATAAATCACAGACCCAATATCACAGTCAGATGGCTGGCTTATATTAATGTTTAACACAGAGATTGAAGATGGAGTTTTCTCCTTTATTCTACACCATCTTCACCTCCAGCCCTTCCTCTTTTCAGCCCTTAAGTTCAACAGATCCAGGTCACAGCCCTGTTTTCTTATGTATTTCATTATCTGGTGTTATAATATCATAAATTGCTAGGCTCATCCGGACTCATTTTCCAGAAGAGGAATCAAGTCTATGTAGTCAACCTTTCTGCTTTACTGGACTTACTGAACATATGCATATTTCCCCATATAGACAAGTGCATGTATAAGAGAAGAAGTTACCTATATTACATACTCCATTAAATACATAGGCATGTTTCATAAGACCATATATTTTAACTGAAAATTTACATCATTATGAATTAAGATAATTACAGTAAAACTGACTCTGAAGAAAGTTAGTATTCAAGTTATTTTTAAAGGAAAAGAATTTGGTGATTTGGTCTTAAATGCATTGTTAGTGTTCTGTATGCCTTAGTGATAGTAGATTCTCCCCTTAGAGTCCACTGCGTTGGCTGTTGTAATTGCTGCCTTTTGTGTGTTCATAGAGACTTCATGCTACCCATAACTTGATGGAATTGTTGACAGCCAAGCACCCAGGGATACCTCCTACCCTCAGAGATGGCAGACTTGAGGAAGAGGTAATTTTTTTCTTTTCATGCTGCCTATAAAAGAATTTTTCCTCAGACTTCATGTTCCGGCTAATTGATGCCTCCTAGGAAATCCAAAGGTGGTCATGTTTCCTTGCTGCTTTGACGCCCCAGACTTTGCTGTGGTGACTTTGGGTGGCACAGAACAGCAACTCTCCGTGTCGTGTTGTTTCTCTGAGAATCTTCCTGCAGCTGTGTGGCAACTGCTTGTTGTAGACATGGCTGCTGGTAGCCAACAGCACAGGATGTGAGCAAACAACTAAAAACTTCGATGTATTATTTAAAGAATAAATAAACTCAAATTTCCACTGTAACTTATGTCCTCTCAAAGAAATTCCTTCTGCGATGAATATTGCCTCTTGTTAGAAACAGTGACATAAAATAATTTTAATACACTTATTATGCCAATTCCCCAGTGAATTTTTGCCTCATTAAAGATCAGAAAGATGGCAAAACCTAAAAGCAAAAGGATAGTAGATGTGTTTGAAAACTACTGAACCTGTAAATGGAGCCTTTATGTAAATTAAGAGGATAAAAAATGAGATTTTTATAAGTATGTACTTACTTGTAATTTTAAGTAAGTATGTAAGTATTCTGTAAGTATGTATCTAGCTAGATGCTAGATAGTGATCTAGCATCAAGTATATGAAATTTTCAAGTGAAAATGTGTATGAAAATTTTCAAGTGAAATTTTATTCCCAGTGCAGGCGTCTAATCTTTATATGTAATCAATCAGTCACTCTATTAAATGCTTTCAGTGACAGGAAGTTCTCTGGGAGACAGTCCTATCTATTAGTAGACAACTATAATGACCAGCTAATTACAGCCAAGGAATTGTAATGGATATTAATTGGAAGGTCGTGACGGGAAGAAGAAAATTGCATCATGAGGTGGAGGGTTCATACTATGTAGATGTATTTCCAAGTACATCACTTTATCACTTTTGCCTAACTCTCACATGATATGAAGCCTTGGTATTTCAAAGCTGGACGAAATTCTAGAAATCATACACTTCCACCACCTCTTTTTGTAGATGAAGTAGCTAAAGCCTAGGAAAATGAAATGGCTAGTCAAAAGAGATGTGTCTATTCAGTTGACTTCATGAAATTGCTGTTGTTGTAAGTCAGGGGTGGTCTAGTATTGGCAGTTTCTTATGGCTCATCCCACTGCTAAGTGGAGCATTGGTATTTCCAGTTCAGTAGTCTTTCCAGTTTTTCTCCCACTGTCCACATAGCCTCTGATCATCCCCTTTCTTCATTCATGAAATAGTTTCCAGAGTCAGTTAAGTCTTTCAGTTAAATGGACAAATGTGAGTTTCCCTAAGTTTCCTAGTGGAAACTTACAAGAATAAAATTTTTCAGTGTTTCTGTTGCTTGCAAATAATGTGATCCTTTTTGTTTCGAGAAGTTGAAAGGGGCCCAATTTTTGAATCATTTTTGTATTAATCTTCTAGGACTCCCATAACAAAATACAGACTAAGTGACTTAAACATTAGAAGTTTCATTTCTCACACTCATGGACTGGAAGAATTACTGTTGTTAAAATGTTTATGCGGCCCAAGTCAATATACAGTTTCAGTTTAATTCCTCTTAAAATTCCAATGGTATTTTTCACAGAAATAGAATAAACAATCCAAAAATCTGTGTGGAGCTAGAAAAGATCCTGAATAGCCAAAGTCATCTTGAAAAAGAAGAACAAAGCTGCAGGCATTATGCACCCTGATTTTAAGCTATATTATAAAACTATAGTATTTAAAAGACTATGGTATTGATATAAAAGCAGACACATAGATCAATGGGAAAGAACAGAGAGAACCCAGAAATAAACCCACCCACATATGGTCAGTTAATTTATAAAAAAGAACCACGATTCAGTTCGGTTCAGTCGCTCAGTCATATCCAACTCTGCAACCCCATGGACTGCAGCACTCCAGGTCTCCCTGTCCATCACCAGCTCCTGGAGTTTACTCAAACTCATGTCTATCGAGTCGGTGATGCCATCTAACCATCTCATCCTCTGTCGACCCCTTCTCCTCCCGCCTTCAACCTTTCCCAGCATCGGGGTCTTTTCCAGTGAGTCAGTTCTTTGCATCAGGTGGCCAAAGTACTGGAGTTTCAGCTTCAGCATCAGTCCTTCCAATGAATAAGCAGGACTGATTTCCTTTAGGATGGACTGGTTGGATCTCCTTGGAGCCCAAGGGACTCTCAAGAGTCTTCTCCAACACCACAGTTCAAAAGCATCAATTCTTCGGCACTCAGCTTTCTTTATAGTCTACTTTCACACCTATACGTGACTACTTAGAAAAACCATAGCTTTGACTAGACGGACCTTTGTTAGCAAAGTAATGTCTCTGTTTTTTAATATGCAGTCTAGGTTGGTCATAACTTTTCTTCCAAGGAGCAAACGTCTTTTAATTTCATTGCTGCATTCACCATCTGCAGTGATTTTGGAGCCCCAAAAAATAAAGTCAGCCACTGTTTCCACTATTTACCCATCTATTTGCCATGAAGTGGTGGGACCGGATGCCATGATCTTAGTTTTCTGAATGTTGAGTTTTAAGCCAACTTTTTCACTCTCCTCTTTCACTTTCATCAAGAGGTTCTTTAGTTCTTTGCTTTCTGCCATAAGGGTGGTGTCATCTGCATATCTGAGGTTATTGATATTTCTCCTGGCAATCTTGATTCCAGCTTCTGCTTCATCCAGTCCAGCATGTCTCATGATGTACTCTGCATATAAGTTAAATGAGCAGGGTGACAAAATACAGCCTTGACGTACTCCTTTTCCTATTTGGAACCAGTCTGTTGTTCCATGTCCAGTTCTAACTGTTGCTTCTTGACCTGCATACAGATTTATCAGGAGGCAAGTCAGGTGGTCTGGTGTTTCCATCTCTTTCAGAGTTTTCCACAGATTATTGTGATCCACACAGTCAAACGCTTTGGTATAGTCAATAGAGCAGATATTTGTCTCGAGCTCTCTTGCTTTTTCAGTGATCCACTGGATGTTGGCAATTTGATCTCTGATTCCTCTGCCTTTTCTAAATCCAGCTTGAACATCTGGAAGTTCATGGTTCACATATTGCTGAAGCTTGGGTTAAAGAATTTTGAGCATTACTTTACTAGCGTGTGAGATGAGTGCAATTGTGCAGTAGTTTGAGAATTCTTTGGCATTGCCTTTCTTTGGGACTGGAATAAAAACTGACCTTTTCCAGTCCTGTGGCCACTGCTGAGTTTTCCAAATTTGCTGGCATATTGAGTGCAGCACTTTCACAGCATCATCTTTCAGGATTTGAAATAGGTCAACTGGAATTCCGTCACCTCCACTAGCTTTGTTCATAGTGATGCTTCCTAAGGCCCACTTGACTTCACGTTCCAGGATGTCTGGCTCTAGATGAGTGAGCACACCATCATGATTATCTGGGTCATGAAGATCTTTTTTATATCGTTCTTATTCAGTAGGGAAAGGACAGTCTCTCCTTTTTTTAATTGAACTACGGTTGATTTGATATGGGGCTTCCTTGGTAGCTCAGATGGTAATGAATATGCCTGCAGTGCAGGACATCCAGATTCAGCCCTGGGTCGGGAAGATCCCGTGGAGGAGGGAATGGCTACCCACTCCAGTATTCTTGCCTGAAGAATTCCATGGGCTAAGGAACCTGGGAGGCTACAGTCCATGGGGCTACAAAGAGTCAGACACAACTGAACAACTAACACTACTACTACAATAGTTAATTTATGATACAGTATATAGCATAATGATTCAGTATTTTTATAGATTATACTTCATTACAAGTTATTGCAAGATAATGGCTATAATCCCCTTTACTATACAATCTATGCTTGTTGCTTATCTGTTTTATATGTAGCAGTAGTTTGTGTCTCATCCCCCTGATCTTCCCTGTCCCCTTTCATCTCCACAATGGTAACCAGTAGTAGTTTGTTTTCTATATCAATGAGTCTGTGTTTGTTTTGCATATATATTCATTTTATTTTTTAAATTCCATGTGTAAGTAATATGATAAAATATTTGTGTTTCTCTTTCTGCCTTGTTCACTGAGCATGATATTCTGCATCCATCCATGTTTCTGCAAATGGCAGAACTTCTTCCTTTGACTATAACTGAATAATATTCCATTATAAATATTTACAACAGCCTCTTTATCCATTCATCTCTGTTGATGGGCACTTGGGTTTTATCATATCTTGGTTAATTGTAAATAGTGCTGCTCTGAACATCAGAGTATACGTATCTTTTTGAACTAGTGTTTTCATTGTTTTTCCATCTGTATACTCAGGAGTGGAATTGCTGAGTCATATGGTGCTATATGTAGTTTTTTGAGGAATCTCCATACTGTTTTCCTTCGTAGCTATACCAATTTACATTCCTACCAACAGTATGCAAGGGTTCTTTTTTCTCCATGTTATCCCCAACACTTGGTATTTGTAAACTTTTTGATATAGTCATGACATGTGTGAGGTGATACCTCATTGCTGTTGTAATTTATATTTCTCTAATAATTAGTGGCTTTGAGCATCTTTTCATGTGCCTTATTAGCCATCTCTATGTCTTCTTTGGGAAAATGTCTATTCAGGTCTTCTGCCCATTTTTTAATTAGGTTGTTTTTTTTGATATTGAGTTTTATGTGTTGTCTATATACTTTAGATGCTGACCTCTTATCAGGGATTTAGATATTACCCTGTTATCAGTCAATTAAAAAATAGGCAGAGGATAGGAATAGACATTATTTCAAAGAGACATACGGATGGCCAGCATGCACATGAAAAGATGCTCAACATCGTTAATCATCAGGGAAGGCTAGAAGTCTGATAGCAAGTTGTCATCAGGGTTGGTTGCCCCTAAAGATTCTCTCTTTGGCTGGCAGGTGGCTGCCTTCTCACTGGGTCCTCATATGGCATTTTCTCTGTGCACTTGCGTCCCTGGTATCTCTCCCTTATCTTTTAATGACACTAGTCATATTGGATTAGGGTTCCACCCTTATCATCTCATGTATATGCATTTACTCAATCACCTTCTTAAAGACCCTGTCTGTCAATATAGTGACATTGGGGGTTAGAGCTTCATCATACAGCTTTTGAGGGAACATAGTTCAGTTCACAAAACCTGTGTTAGTGTATATTCTTAAGTATTAGTTCTAAACTGAAGTAATTCCAAGGAATTATAATAACTGAATGAGACAAGAAATTCTAAAATGTATTCCTGCTTTGCCTTAAGGTTTAAAATGTTACCGTACTTCCTCCTCCCCTTTTTTTTTAATTAAAAAATTAGATAAAAATTTGGAGAGCAGGGCTTCCCTGGTGGCTCAGAGGTTAAAGTGTCTGCCTGCAATGCAGGAGACCTGGGTTCGATCCCTGGGTTGGGAAGATCCCCTGGAGAAGGAAATGGCAACCCACTCCAGTATTCTTGCCTGGAAAATCCTATGGACGGAGGAGCCTGGTGGGCTACAGTCCACGGGGTCGCAAAGAGTCAGACATGACTGAGCGATTTCACTGATGTCATAAAGTTACCAACTACAATAAAAAAATTTGGAGAGCAAATCCTTAGAATTTCTTATATTATTTGATTTACATGTAAATGTAAGTCAAGGTGTCCTCCAGGTTATTCTCTTCAATATACATATTAGGAACTTCTAGCATGGCTTTTATGTTCCCTACAGTATACTTGACTTCAGTGCTTAAATAGATTTAAACAAATAAAATAAGCACATTGTTCTTGCAACATCATACTAGATTATTTTCTTGACCTGGAGTGAAAGTTTATACTTGTTTCCTGTTTCACCACAGGCCAAACAACTCCGAGAACATTACATGAGCAAGTGTAACACAGAGGTTGCGGAAGCCCAGCAAGCTTTGTTGCCTGTGCAGCAGACTATCCGTGATCTCCAGAGAAAGGTATGTATGTAATTTTCCTTACTTACATTTGTCTTCACATAACATTTTGGTGGTGCAAAGACTTTCGGGAGTGCGAAGTCAAGTGGGACTTAAGAAGCACTGCTATTAATAAAGTTAGTGGATGCAATGAAATTCCCGCAGAACTATTCAGATCCCTAAAGGATGATGCCATCAAGGATTTGTATTCATTATGCCAGAAGATCTGGAAGACCCAGCAATGGCCACAGGACTGGAAAAAGTCAGTCCTCATCCCAATTCCCAAGAAGGGTACTACCAAAGAATGTGCTAACCATTAAACAGTTGCACTCATCTCTCAAGCTAGTATGGTTATGCTTAAAATCTTGCATACTAGGCTTCAGCGTTATGCGAACCAAGAACTTCCAGATGTCCAGCTGGGTTTCAAAAAGGAAGAGAAACTAGAGATCAAATTGCCAACATTCGCTGGACTTTATAGAAAGCGAGGGAATTTCAGAAAAACTGCCATCTCTGTTTCATCAACTACACTGAAGCCTTTAACTGTGTGTGTCCTGACAAACTGTGGAAAGCTCTTAGAGAAATGGGCATACCAGACCACCTCGCCTGTCCTGGGAAACGTGTGTGCAGGTCAAGAAGCCGCAGTTAGAACCTTGAATGGGACAACGAATTGGTTCAAGATTGAGAACGGAGTATGACAGGGCTCCCTGCTGTCACCCTGTTTCTTTAATCTGTATGCTGAGCACATCATGAGAAATGCCAGGCCGGATGAGTTACAAGCTGGAATCAAGATAGGCAGGAGAAACCTCAACAACCTCAGATATGCAGATGATACCACTCTAATGGCAGAAAGCAGTGATCTAAAGAGCATCTTGATGAGGGTGAAGGAGGAGAGTGAAAGAGCCAGCTTAAGACTAAATAGTAAAAAACTAAGGTCATGGCATCCAGCCCCATTACTTCACGGCAAATAGAGGGGGAGAAGGTGGAAGCAGTGACAGATTTTCTCTTCTTGGGCTGCAGAATCACTGTGGATGGTAACTGCAGCCATGAAATCAAAGATGAATGCCTCTTGGCAGGAAAGGGATGACAAACGTAGATAGTGTGTTGAAAAGCAGAGACATTACCCTGCCAACAAAGGCCCATGTAGTCAAGGCTCTGGTCTTCCCAGTGGTCACGTACGGTTGTGAGAGCTGGACTGTAAAGAAAGCAGAACACCAAAGATTGAAGCCTTTCAGCTGTGGTCCTGGAGAAGACTTCTCGAAGTCCCTTGGACAGCAAGGAGATAAACCAGTCAATCTTAAGAGAGATCAACCCTGAATATTCACTGGAAGGACTGATGCTGAAGCTGAAGCTCCAGTATTTTGGTCATCTGATGTGAACAGACAACTCATTGGAAAAGTCCCTGATTCTGGGAAAGATTGAGGGCAGAAGGAGAAGAGGGTGTCAGAGGATGAGATGGCTGGACGGCATCACTGATGCAATGAACGTGAACTTGGGCAAACTCCAGGAGATGGTGAGGGACAGGGAGGCCTAGCCTGCTGCAGTCCATGTGGTTTCAAAGAGTCGGACACAACTGGGACACTGAACAGCAACAACATTTTGGTTTGTGTTCTGATCTGGGGAGAAACGAACTTTCGTATCATCTTGGAATTCTTAGCACCTAGTATAGTGAAGTGAAAGTCGCTCAGTCGTGTCCGACTCTGCGACCCCATGGACTATACAGTCCATGGAATTCTCCAGGCCAGAATACTGGAGTAGGTAGCCTTTCCCTTCTCCAAGGGATCTTCCCAACCCAGGGATCGAACCCAGGTCTCCCGCATTACAGACAGATTCTTTACCAGCTGAGCCACAGCGGAAGCCCATATAGTACTTGGGCCACAATAAAAGTTTATTTGCTGTTAGCGGTGTTTATTGATTGAATGAACAGATACAGAGATAAATCACCTATTTTGAGGTTATTCTCTTTGGTTTCTTTTAAGGTATAATGTGGTTTCCTCTATCCTTAGTATATAACAAGTTGTCTTTTGAAGAAAGTAGACTTCTACAACCTTCTTTTGCTCTTAGATGTGCATACTTCCAAAATCTTTCAAAGTTTGGAATATTAGAACTATAAGTATTTTTCTTATGAAATATGTGTCATTTGTCATTTCTAAAATTTCTCTTTGATGAAGTCAATAGCATAGTTTAAAGGGGAGGCTACACAAAATACACTTTTTGTCTTTGATTTTAATCAGTTACACCACATGTTATTCTTCCTAATTCATTAATTATTTAGTATTCAGGCATATAATTTCATTAATTACCATACATTATTCATTGAGTAGAATCTCATTCTGTTAGTTGAGGATAAACATGAAGTCTTTATTATGCTGAGCAAGAAACCTGTTACCTTTTCAGATATATAGAGTAAATACTGAATTTTAATTTTTTTTTTTAGCACAGCTTTGTTATACGTGTATGTACAATAAATTCTCATTCATTTAGAGTAATCATGAAATAGGTGTTCTATTTAATTATATATTCATTCATTCATTGTATAGCCAACATGTCTATTTGTCTCCCTACTACTGTTGTGATTTTCCTGAGAGTGGCATTTATTGTTCCTTTTAACTTTTCGCAGAACCCTTTCCAGTGATAGAATATAGTGAGTACTGAAAAGACATTTGTTATCTTGTTTACAGATTCATTCTAATTCTCCTTGGTGGCTGAATGTGATACACAGAGCAATAGAATTTGGTATTGAAGAGGAACTTGCTCAAAGAGTGCGAAATGAAATAACCAGCAACTACAAGCAACAAACTGGCAAGCTCTCTATGTCAGAGAAGTAAGAAAGTAGCACAAAACAGGACAATTATACTAGTAGTCATCCCAAATATTCAGATCATTTGGTATTAAGAGTTACAGTTAAAGATCATAACACACTGTGGTTATGAACATCTGAATTTTATATTTTGTTAAGTGTATATTTCAAATCAAAATATGAGGTATAAATCTAAAAGATAAGCCTTTTTTCCTGTATATTAGTCATTTTTAAATGTTTTGTTTTTTAGTGCATTTTTTTTTCTATTTTTTTAATCCACTTGAAGCATTCTTTTGTATCTTGGTTGGATAAAGTTGCTTAAAACCAAGTTGGAGCAGAGTTTTGAAATAGGCTCTGTTTTGGAGATTTTTGCCCTTTTGGTAAGCCATTCCCATTTCCCTATGTCATTCATTCCCTAAGAGCTAAGTTCATAGTGCCACAGTGAGCAGTTTTATATTGTAGAGTCGTTGTCTTCCCGTCTTTCTTCTCATCAACGCTTACCATTCTTTAAGATAGAGATATTGGAATATTGCTCTTAATGTATGAATGGTGAATAATTCTTTCCAAAGAACAGATAAACTCTGTCAAAAGTACCTCCAGTGGTTTAACCCAAAGGGATGTTTGCCTTGTGTGGGGAACTTAGGTGTTGTGGCAGAACTGGATTCTGGGTGGTAGGACCTCAGCCTCTCAAATCACACACCAGTAGGAGGTCAGCCTTGGCATTAAAGCTGGTTTTCAGTGAAAAATTCAGTGTAAGAATGTCTTTTAAATATTTAAAACATTTTCATTTGCTCCTCTAAAAACTTTGCCAAATGTCTGCTAACACCCTAAAAAGATATGCTCCATTTTCCATGTGTCATTATTAACTTGGATGTACCTTAGTATAATCATTTTTTTCATCATACAGAACCTGATAGACTTCTCATTTCTAAAGTATATGCAGTATTCAGTTCAGTTCATTCGCTCAGTCGTGTCTGACTCTGCAACCCCATGGACTGCAGCACACCTGGCCTCCCTGTCTGTCACCAACTCCCGGAGTTTACCCGAACTCAAGACCATTGAGTGGGTGGTGCCATCCAACCATCTCATCCTATGTCATCCCCTTCTCCTCCCACCTTCAATCTTTCCCAGTGTCAGGGACTTTTCAAATGAGTCAGCTCTTTGTATCAGGTGGCCAAAGTATTGGAGTTTCAGCTTCAGCATCAGTCCTTCCAATGAACACCCAGGACTGATCTCCTTTAGGATGGACTGGTTGGATCTCCTTGGAGCCCAAGGGACTCTCAAGAGACTTCTCCAACACCCCAGTTCAAAAGCATCAATTCTTTGACGCTCAACTTTCTTTATAGTCCAACTCTCACATCCATACATGACTACTGGAAAAACCATAGGCTTGACTAGATGGACCTTTGTTGGCAAAGTAATGTCTCTGCTTTTTAATATGCTATCTAGGTTGGTCATAGCTTTTCTTCCAAGGAGCAAGCACCTTTTAATTTTGTGGATGCAGTCACCATCTGCAATGATTTTGGAGCCCCCCAAAATAAAGTCAGACACTGTTTCCACTGTTTCCCTATCTGTTTGCCATGAAGTGATGGGACCAGATGCCATGGTCTTAGTTTTCTGAATGTTGAGCTTTAAGCCAACTTTTTCACTCTCCTCTTTCATCAAGAAGCTCTTTAGTTCTTCTTCCCTTTCTGCCATAAGGGTGGTGTCATCTGCATATCTGACGTTAATATTTCTCCCGGCAACCTTGATTCCAGCCTGTACTTCATCCAGTGCATCATTTCTCATGATGTTCTGTGCACATAAGTTAAGTAAGCACGGTGACAATATACAGCCTTAACATACTCCTTCTCCTATTTGGAACCAGTCTGTTGTTCCATGTCCAGTTCTAACTGTTGTTTCCTGACCTGCATACAGATTTCTCAAGAGGCAGGTCAGGTGGTCTGGTATTCCCATCTCTTGAAGAATTCTCCAGTTTGTTGTGATCCACATAGTCAAAGGCTTTGGCATAGTCAATAAAGCAGAAATAGATGTCCTTCTGGAACTCTCTTGCTTTTTCGATGATGCTACAGATATTGGCAGTTTGATCTCTGGTTCCTCTGCCTTTTCTAAATCCAGCTTGAACATTTGAAAGTTCACAGTTCACATACTGTTGAAGCCTGGCTTGGAGAATTTTGAGCATTACTTTCCTAGCATGTGAGATGAGTGCAATTGTGAGGTAGTTTGAACATTCTTTGGCATTGCCTTTCTTTGGGATTGGAATGAAAGCTGACCTTTTCCAGTCCTGTGTCCACTACTGAGTTTTCCAAATTTGCTAGCATATTATGTGCAGCACTTTCACAGCATCATCTTTCAGAATTTGAAATAGGTCAACTGGAATTCCATCACCTCCACTAGCTTTGTTCATAGTGATGCTTCCTAAGGCCCACTTGACGTCACATTCCAGGATGTATGGCTCGAGGTGAGTGATCACACCATCGTGATTATCTGGGTCGTGAAAATCTTTTTTTTACAGTTCTGTGTATTCTTGCCACCTCTTCTTAATATCTTTTGCTTCTGTTAGGTCCATACCATTTCTGTCCTTTATTGAGCCCATCTTTGCATGAAATGTTCCCTTGGTATCTCTGATTTTCTTGAAGAGATCTCTAGTCTTTCCCATTCTATTCTTTTCCTCTATTTCTTTCCATTGGTCACTGAGGAAGGCTTTCTTATCTCTCCTTGCTATTCTTTGGAACAATGCATTCGAATGGATATATCTTTCCTTTTTTCCTTTGCTTTTGGCTTCTCTTCTTTTCACAGCTACTTGTAAGGCCTCCTCAGACAGCCATTTTGTTTTCTGCATTTCTTTTTCTTGGGAATGGTCTTGATTCCTGTCTCCTGTACAGTGTCATGAATCTCTATGCATAGTTCATCAGACAGTCTGTCTATCAGATCTAATCCCTTAAATCTATTTCTCACTTCCACTGTATAATCATAAGGAATTTGATTTGGGTTATACCTGAATGATCTAGTGTTTTCCCTACTTTCTTGAATTTAAGCCTGAATTTGACAATAAGGAGTTTATGATCTGAGCCACAGTCCGCTTCCCCGTCTTGTTTTTGCTGACTGTATAGAGCTTCTCCATGTTTGGCTACAAAGAATATAATCAATCTGATTTTGCTGTTGACCATCTGGTCATGTCCATGTGTAGAGTCTTCTCTTGTGTGTTGGAAGAAGGTGTTGGCTATGACCAGTGCGTTCTCTTGGCAAATATTAACTGCTTTTGAGTGCACTCCTTTTTTCCTGTTAAGCCCAAGAATCACTGTCCCTGTAAGTTGTTCTTTATGTCACAATGTTTTATCTCGTGCTAAAGCTATGTCCTAATGTGTTCTGCCAGCATTGTGGAATCAGCTGATAAAGAAAAGACATTTTTATATGTCTTGAATTTGTTTTTCTTAAATCACGCAGAAACTACTTTTAGAAGTTGTAAATCTCCATATTAGAATATATCCTCTATTAAATATTTTGAGGTCTCATGGCTATAAAAGGACCAATAGGAAACATTCAATGTATAATTCATCAGACAAACATGAATTTTAAAAGCACTAGACATAAATAAAAAGTAAGAAAATGCATTTTTAAAGTTAATATTGTTTTAGATTATATATATTCAGACATCATCTTAACACAGCTGCTCTGTTTTTTAATGAAATTTTTATCTCAGAAACCAAAGTACTCCTGTTTGCTTGTTAGTAATCCTCAAGGAAGGCTGTTGAGCTTGGTGATTAAGAGTACAAGTAGGTTCTTGAGTCAGACTGCCTATGTTCATACCTCAACTCCACCCGTTATTATCTCTGTGTTCTTGGGAAAGTTATATAAGCTCTCTCTGCCTTGGTTTCTTCATCTATAAACCCACAAAGCATTGTTGTTAAGATTAGAAAAAAGTGCTTACTTACAATACTACCTACCATTAGTATGGTGTTTAAGAGTTACCATCTATGATTATCTTTTCTCTTCATTTAAGACCTGCAAGATAGAGCATCACTAAAACTTGTAAATGCTAATCTGTAAGGATATTTTTCAGTCCTTACTTACATGCTCAGATCTGAGTCAGTAAAGAGAATTTTTCCAAAGCCACTTCTTCCTGTTGGTTCAAAAGTTAGTTTTTGAAGAGCAATTTAAATTTTTAATAAGTTACAAATAAAAAAACTTTGTTTTCTTTTTGTGAATAGTATTGATAACTAACCTAATTTTAAGTATCTCTGTGTAATTTTTTTTAGAAATACTGAGCAGTTATTCTATTATACATGTTTTTTAAAAGGGGATATAACCTAATTCTTACCTTCTAAAAGTTAGTTTAACGAGAAGACAAGAGTTATAAGTAATTTGAGAAATATGAGCATGTCTAAACCAAGCACTGGGACTTTGCAGGTGGCTCAGACGGTACAGAATCCGCCTGCCGTGATCCCTGGTGGGGAAGTTCCCCTGGAGGAGAGCATGGCAGCCCACTCCAGCATTCTTGCCTGGAGAATCCCAGGGACAGAGAGGCCTGGTGGGCTACCGTCCATGGGGTCAGAGAAGAGTCATACATGACTTAATAGCTAACAGCAACAAAGTACAAAAATGAATAATGTTGTTAATAAACTCCATGAACAAAAAGAAACAGACGAATGTGAAATATTGGGAAAGCCTTTTAGGAAGGAGAGTAGTCTCTTATGAACAATTTGGAGAATGGTATATGGATTTTAGGAAGAAGGGTATCAGTCAGTTCATTCGCTCAGTCGTGTCTGACTCTTTGCGACCCCATGAACCGCAGCACGCCAGGCCTCCCTGTCCATCACCAACTCCCAGAGTCCACCCAAACCCATGTCCATTGAGTCGGTGATGCCATCCAACCATCTCATCCTCTGTCGTCCCCTTCTCCTCCTGCCCTTAATCTTCCCCAGCATCAGGGTCTTTTCAAATGAGCCAGCTCTTCACATCAGGTGGCCAAAGTATTGGAGTTTCAGCTTCAACATCAGTTCTTCCAATGAACACCCAGGACTGATCTCCTTTAGAATGGACTGTTTGGATCTCCTTGCAGTCCAAGGGACTCTCAAGAGTCTTCTCCAATACCACAGTTCAAAAGCATCACTTCTTCGGCACTCAGCTTTCTTTATAGTCCAACTCTCATATCCATACATGGCTACTGGAATACCATAGCATTGACTAGATGGACCTTTGTTGACAATAATGTCTCTGCTTTTTAATATGCTACCTAGGTTGGTCATAACTTTTCTTCCAAGGAGTAAGCATCTTTAAATTTCATGGCTGCAGTCACCATCTGCAGTGATTTTGGAGGCCAAAAATATAAAGTCAGCCACTATTTCCATTGTTTCCCCATCTATTTGCCGTGATGTGATGGGACCAGATGCCATGATCTTAGTTTTCTGAATGTTGAGCTTTAAGCCAACTTTTTCACTTTCCTCTTTCACTTTCATCAAGAGGCTTTTTAGTTTTCCTTCACTTTTTGCCATAAGAGTGGTGTCATCTGCATATCTGAGGTTATTGATATTTCTCCCAGCAATCTTGATTCCAGCTTGTGCTCTTCCAGCCCAGCGTTTCTCATGATGTTCTCTGCATATAAGTTAAATAAGCAGGGTGACAATATACAGCCTTGACGTACTCTTTTTCCTATTTGGAACCAGTCTGTTGTTCCATTTCCAGTTCTAACTGTTGCTTCCTGACCTGCATACAGGTTTCTCAAGAGGCAGATCTCGGGATGGGGAACACATGTAAATCCATGGCTGATTCATGTCAGTGTATGGCAAAAACTACTACAATATTGGAAAGTAATTAGCCTCCAACTAATAAAAATAAATGCAGGTCAGGTATAGTGTTAACCTAAAAAGCAAACAATTCCCATTTATATTTTTTTACTTTTTAATTTCTTATTATTCTAGGCTTTGTTTCTTTGTTTTTCCTTTCAGAAATGCATACACACACATCCATACATTTTTTGTCTTAACCTGTTTCATTTGTAGTTTATCAGATTGCTTAAGAGCTTTTAAATTTAACTCTTAGTTTTGCCACATAGCTTTCTAACTTTAAATTGCTTTAATTCATTAAGTTTTCTCTACATTGCGGGGACTGTGATGTCTATTGAGGTTAACAGGAGAAGTGCTCAGCAAAGTGGCTTGCATTTAGTAAATGGTTAATAAAAATACATGTGTATATGTACAAGTTCCTGGTAATATGGAAAATAACTGTTGGCCACTTTTATTCTTTCTTCTCACTTTTCTGTCTTATCTTTTCATCCTGCAGTCACCACCTCTCCACGAACAGCATCGATGCCAGGGGGCATCAGTCAGAGTTAAAAAGAAAAAAATGTGACAATTCTGATCTTTCAAAGACATCAGAGGCAGAGACATAGGTTTTGCTTACTGTTTTTTGGTTCAGAGGCCAGCAACTATCAGATGTTTTGTTATGTTTTATAGTGGACTACCCAGTGTTGTTACTCTTTGTTTACTAGCAGATATCAGTTGCATACAGGCCTAAGATAAACTCACCCAGGTGTGACTTGGCAAAACGTTGCAATTTCTCTAACACACTGCCAACCACTTTTTGAATTTTCAAGAAATTAACCTACTATTCTTTTCTTTGCTGTGTGTGGTGCTGGTGATGGGAATCAGGTTCCATGACTGCCGAGGACTTCAGTTCTTACTGACAACACATATGGAAGAGCTCAGTAAGTTCCAGAAGCAAGTGAGAGAGGCTGTAAAAAACCTGGAGGGACCTCCATCTCGGCATGTTATTGAGTCTGCAACAATCTGCCATCTCCGACCAGTCAGACTTCCTCTCAACTGGTGGGTAATAGCAGAAATCACCTGACGGATGGCGTCATTCCTTTGAGCTAGATTTCTTCTCAGAGAAGAAACAGCGGCTCACATATAACTTGTTTTCATTTGAATTCAGATAGAAATAGAGATGTGTTGTTAATCTAGCTTAAAAAATAAAAACCTCTCTAAGACCACATACCAAAGGACTTTGTTTTTTTTTTTTCCTAAAATGGCATATTTGTTGTAATGAAAATATGAAGTATAAAATACTCAGCCTCTTTTAGAGATTACCTGATTGCCAGATATGTCTGTGACTCTTTCTCTCATAATTTCTTCTTTTCCAGCTGTGTCTTTTGTAAGGCTGATGAATTGTTTACAGAGTATGAGTCGAAACTATTTTCTCACACGTAAGTTCTCTGATAGATTAAAATGAAACATTTTACAAGACTTGGTATTTTTTTTTTAATATGTATTTTTATTTATTTACTTACTTGGCTGCACTGGGTCTTAGTTGTAACAGACAGGATCTTTTTCACTGTGGCATGTGGGACCTAGTTCCCTGACCAGGAATGGAACCTGGGCCCTCTGCATTGGGAGCTTAGTCTTAGCCTCTGCACCACTAGGGATGCCCTAAGACTTGGTACTTTAATGTATAGGGTTATATTTTCTTCAAAGTAATTTTTTTCCTCTCTTTTTCAATCAATTTATAATTAGCTTTTGACCATGTATCATGCTCAGTTTCCTCTTTGCTGAAGTTTACCCTCTAAATGTTCATGTCTTGTGTTAATAGCAGTATGTGTTCTTGAAGGGAGGACACAGACTGTCCAGTCCAGCAGATTTGAACTCAGATCCCTGCTCACTAATGTGCATAGGGGACTTCTCTCAGCCTGAGGATCTTCATTTGTAAACTGAAGACACGTATAACCATGACATTAGCAAAATTATCCTGATTTTACAAACATGGAAATTGAGAAAAGGCTAAGTTCTGATTGCCTCAAAAATAAGAAAAAAAGAAACCAGTGCACTTTCCGGTCAACCTGTGGTGTTTTTCGTTTGTTTTTGTATGGTTGATAGTGGTGGTACTTTGTGTTTTGTATTTTAATTCTCAGAGTAAGATTTTAGCCTGGAATTTATAACCATTTTTTACTATGCCAGATTGCTCTTAAAAGAACTCTGGTCAAATGAATGATGCCTCAAGGCTGCTGTGGTTTTCCAAAGGTTTGCTAGCATGATCTTATAGATATGACATTGAAAGTTGTTGATGAAATATTTGTTTTTGACCTTGTTTTCCTGTTGATTCTGCCAATACCATTTTTATGGTACTTGTTACCCACTGACAGTAGTTATTGTGGTTTTCTTCTCAAACACCTTCAGAGTCAAAGGCCAGACTGCAATATTTGAGGAGATGATAGAAGATGAAGAGGGACTGGTGGATGACCGAATAACTACCACCAGTCGTGGTCTCTGGGCAATAAGTGAGACAGAGCGATCTATGAAAGCTCTACTGTCGTTTGCAAAATCACACAGATTTGATGTGGAATTCATTGATGAGGGAAGTAATTCAATGGATCTCTTTGAAGCTTGGAAGAAGGAATATAAGGTAACAGTGATTTAAATCTTCCTTCCTATGTTAAAAATTCTCCACCTTTACATTAATTTTAATTGCTATTTTCCTTTTTTTCTCTTCAATTTTTAAAAATCTGCTTTAGCAAGTTGAAGTGTCATAATTTATCTTCCCATGAAATGTAATGATTGTACTAATTAATAATAAATATACTGAAGAAATAAGCAATTTCTATTTATTAAATTATGAAAAATAATAACTAAAATGAAATTTATATGAAACCTTCTATTTAGCCTTGAAAGCATGTTATTCTTGTTTTAGCTTGACCTTGCACTGCTATTCTTTGAAATCAGAGTATGACTTTGTTTCCTTTTTGTTTTGTTTTGCTTTTGTTCTGTAAATAACAACCAAACAGCAGCCTTGAAGACTGAACTTAGTAAATAGTTCTCAACATACAAGACTAGAAACCATTGCAATTAATAATGCACAAAGGGACCCTTCATATTCTTACTTTAATAATTTCATCAAATTGTGTACTTGGAATTCCAGAATTTGTTAATTTTGAATTTTCCTTTATATCAATTCAGTTCAGTCACCCAGTTGTGTCTGACTCTTTGTAACCCTATGGACTGCCCTACGCCAGGCTTCCCTGTCCATCACCAACTCCCAGAACTTGCTCAAACTCATGTCCATCAAGTTAGTGATGCCATCCAACTGTCTCATTCTCTGTCATCCCCGTCTCCTCCTGTCTTCAATCTTTCCCGGCATCAGGGTGTTTTCTAATGAATCAGTTCTTCGCATCAGGTGACCAAAGTATTGGAGTTTCAGCTTCAGCGTCAGCCCTTCCAATGAATATTCAGGACTGATTTCCTTAAGACTGACTGGTTTGGTCTCCTTGCAGTCCAAGGGACTCTCAAGAGTCTTCTCCAACACCACAGTTCAAAAGCATCGATTGTTCAGCACTCAGCTTTCTTTATCTTTATGGTCCAAGTCTCAAATCCATACATGACTACTGGAATTCTTTTTATTGTAGATTTGTTAATCCCTTGTCCTACTTTGCAAGTGAGATGTGGGAGGAAATAAAAGAAATAGGTTTTTTTATTTATGCCATAATTCCATTTGATATATTTTATTTATTTTAATCTAAAGTTCTTCCTTTTAAAGCAGGATAAAAATTTCTCTCAAGAAATAGAAGCTAAGTTGTCTATCAGTTCACGCATTTGATAGTTTAGGAAATGATACTTCTGTAGAGGCCAAAGTGTTGTGGTAATTTTTTTCTCTTCACATTACTCTTCTAAAAGCAAAAGCATATTAACACCATTATTTATAGCAGGTCATGGAAGAAGACAGTACTATATACAGTGTTCACTTGCCCCTACAGTCTTCCCTTGAGCTCACTTTAGCCACATATTCTGTGTCAGAGGAATGCTTATCATGCATTTCACCTAGAACTTTGTGCATTTTTTCCTCTGTGACATTGCAGACTACACCCTTATAGACCCATGTAAATGAATGAGCTACTGCTACACACATCAGGATCTAACTTAAAGCATAGTGTTATTGGAGACAGCATATCGAAAAATTTTATAATGATTGGTAACCATTTTTACAAATTTCAGAAACTTATATAGCTAGATTATTAAGTATGTGTAGATTAATATAACTCCAGTGACAAGTACAGAATAATAAGTCCAGTTCAGAATAGTGGTTACCCCACTGTTGGGCATGGAAGGAAGAATGTGTGAGGCAAGAGAGCAAGGCAGTTGAGAAAGAACACAGGCTTTCTAAGGAACTGACATTATTCTCTTTCCTAATTTGGATGATGTGGACTCAGTTGTGTATTTTAATATTTTCATCATCCTATATACATATTAAAATTGAGAATGTGAAATATTTTATAATAAAAATATTTCTTTTAGAAAATAAAGCAGAGATTCCACCAGACTAGTATTGAGCTCTAAAAATCTTTGATCCTACCAAGAAATCTTGGAGTGTGCTGTTGCTCAGATTCTGAAGAAGCGATATACTCTGGTGTCCTGTGAAGATTATCCAGTCACACTTCATTCCAAAAATGGCCCAAGATGGCTTGCACCTTAGACCCTAATGAAAAAACTTTATGTCTTAAGACCTCACTGAAGATTCTAAGTGATTTTAACCAGTTTTAATTATGTGCTTTACGACTGTCTGTCTCTTCTGTTCTGTCAGTTGCTTCATGAATATTGGATGGCTCTGAGGAATCGTGTGTCTGCTGTTGATGAACTTGCAATGGCTACAGAACGACTAAGAGTCCGTGATCCTCGGGAGCCAAAGCCCAGCCCACCAGTTCTTCACATCATTGAACCACATGAGGTAGTCGGCACGTGAATCACAGGAAAGAGCACAGCAGATAGATAGTCACAAAGATCTGAGATGCACAGAAGAGATCAGGACAGTGATGTTTTCAATAACTGTTTCCTGACTACTCTTAGTTTGAGCCCTATGGTGTTTTTGTTTCTGTAGGTCAGAGATGATCAATTTCATATCTATCATGTGCTTAGCATCACTGATTTGATACATTTGCACATTTCTGTGTTTCTCTTCTTATTGCATATTCATCTGTTCTTGAGCATTTTCTGTGTGCAAAAACCTAAAGATATTCTTGATCAGTTTTTAGACATGTGCCCTGTTACCCCAGCTTTTTCAGAACTAGAAAAGTCTTCCCCAAAGAGTGGCCAAGAACATACTTGCCCTGTTTTCCTTTGCTAAATGATGAACGGATATTGACCTGTTAAATCCCTCTTTGTATCTCAGAATTTAAAAAATAATTCCACCAACCTTTCTTCTTCCTATTAAAAATATAATTTTCTTTATTATTTGTTTTTGTTCCTTAAATCTTTTAAATCTTTTTTTTCTGTAAAGCTTAGGGACTGTAATATAGAAAAACATAAAAATGTTCATTGTATACAATTTCACTTCGTTTTTAAAACAAAATTCTTAATAACCTTTTCCAAAACAGATCCCTCTTGTTTTTATACTTTTTTTATGTTTACTGTATTTTACTGCGGGAGCACCACAGAGAGGAGGAAAGCAGATTCTTCTCTGGATTTCTTAAAATCACTTTATTTGTATGACCAAAGTAGAATATCATTTTATTTTTCCTTACTCCATGAATGTACTATTACTGAAAAATCATACAAAAAAGTCTTTGGTTGACTTATCCTACTTCAGGTGTATAGGGGAGTTTTTATCTAAAAGAATTCTACATTGAATTTTTCTTCTATACAGCAAAACATATGTATTTTTAAAAATATATTATCTAGTATCCATTTTGCACATTTGAGTTTTCACATGTAAATATGTTTCTTAAACTTTTTAAGGAAGAATTAAAATAGAAAAATTGGATATGTTTAGTATAATGTTACCATCTTAGCATAAAGATATTTTATTTTGCTTTTTAGGTAGAACAGAATCGTATAAAACTGCTAAATGATAAAGCTGTTGCTACATCCCAGTTGCAGAAAAAGCTTGGGCAGCTTCTTTACCTAACTAACTTGGAAAAGGTATTGTTTTTAAAAAATGTTACTTTTTCCCATATCGCACTATCAATAAACCACTTTATTGACTCCTTTTATTTAATCTCTTAGTCCCATAATTAATGCTTATAGGTATTTTTTTAATCATTCTTTTGTTTGTGTTAGTTTTATGTCAGAACACTAGCTATATCTGTAGTACCTGTGCAAGATCGGAAAAGAAGATGATGTCTATAGAAAATATGTTATACAAATAATGTAAAAGGTATACAGTATATAGCATAGAAAGTGAAGTCACTCAGTCGTGTCCAACTCTTTGTGACCCCATGGACTGTAGCCCGCCAGGCTCCTCTGTCCATGGGATTCTCCAGGCAAGAGTACTGGAGTGGGTTGCCATTTCCTTCTCCAAATGTATAGCATAGCACAGTGTAAACAGACTAGTTTGAAACCTTGAATAGTGATCGTATTACAACATACCTCTGGGCGAAGATTGCACTGTATAATACATACACCTGCCTCTGTTAATGCACACACAGATTTTTTTTTTAATTTGTTATTTGGAATTGTGAAGTGTGCTTGGAAACCTACTAAATCAGAGGACATGGCAATGAATTATTTAATGTAATTCACAGCATATTTTCTGAGTAGTAAGCAAAATACTATATCAAACATGGATGAAGGTTTTTCAGCTTTCTGGCAAACATAAATGTGAGAGTCAACAGAGTAACTTATCACAGAAACATGTAGTAGTAGATTTTCGGATAGGAAAAATGAAGCACAGAGTGGACTACAATTGGTCCTGAAAAACTGGTGCAAAATAACATTTGAGTGAATATCATTAAATGTCATTAATGACAAAATGAAAAACATTCATTATCGGTAAAATAGCATGGTCATTCAGAAGGTAGACTTTTGACCTAGACAGAGCAAGCTTAATCATGAAGCCACTATTTTCTAGATATAGGACTATTTTTCAAGTTATTTTCTTCTCTTTGTCCCATCTGTAAAATGAGAGTAGTAATACTCTTGTAGGACCCTCTTGAGGATTAAATGAATTAATAAGTCAATCTCATGCAAAAATGCCAGATATATTAAAGTAACATGGGGGAAGAAAATCTTAATATTTCTGGACATGAGTTTTTAAAATATAAGATTTCTGTACTTAATATGAGAGTCAAAATTAAGAGACAGTTGATCATTTTTTAGTTATAGAATAAGTTGATATCCTCTATATGTTGAATTATTTTTTAAAAGGTTAAAATCCCAAAGATATAATCTATGTGGGAAAACCCATTTGACTAAAAATAGAGAAAAATATTTAGTTTATAAATGAAGGGAAATAAGGAATCCATAAATTACTACACATAGGACAAATCCAACCCATCACCAGTTTTTATAAATTTTAAAGATTTATTTAAACACAGCTATTGTCATTCATTAAGTATTGCGTGCAGCTGCTTTTGTGCTATGTAATAGCAGAGTTGAGTTGTTGCGGCAGAGATCATATGGCCCACAAAGCCTAAAATATTTACTACCAGGCCCTTTATGGAAAAAATGCTAATTCTTATGTTAAGCAAATTAGAAGAGAAGACGAACGGTAGATTGTTTATAAGATAATATAGTAATGCCTTCTTCTGTGTGCATGCTCTGAGTTACTCCACTCCCACACTGACTCTGGGCTTAGCCAGATGACTTGCTTTTGGTCTTGTGTCATAGCAGAGATTTGAAAAGTCTACACACTTTGGGGACTTCTCGGGTAGCTCAGTGGTACAGGATCCACCTACCAGTGCTGGTGAGACAGGTTCATTCCCTGGGTCAGGAAGATCCCCTAGAGAAGGAAATGGCAACCCACTCCAAATCCCATGGGCAGAGGAGCCTGGCGGGCTACAGCCCATGGTGTTGCAAAAGAAACACAACCTAGGGACTAAACAACAGTAATGTACTGTGACATTCCTCCAGTTGTGTTGTTTTTTTGGACTCTCAGACGAAGTGAAGAAGCCCAGGTTCCATTCTTGAGGAGCAAATACCTCAACTTAGCCCTCTCCCCAGACCAGCTCTTATCAACTGCTAGACATGAGTGTGGGGCCAGCCCGAGGCAAATCAGCCCATCCCAAAATTACCCAGGTGACTGGTAGAATAAGGAGAAATAAATGTTTTTTTTAGCCACCAAGGTTTTAAGTGGTTTGTTAATGTTACCTGAAATAAATCATTAATTAAAAAGGGGAAGGATAATTCAGTTCAACTGTTATAAATGCTTGCATACTTACATTACAGTTAATGGAGTTGTTTTAACCATTAGAACTGCTGAATTCATGCACAATTTACTTTTTTTTTTTCCTGCTTATAAAAGTCAAAGGGTAATCAAGAACAGTTTAGTAATCTATGAGTCTAATTTACTTTCCTTTATGTTGTTGTCCTCAGTTTTAAAACTTGTTCATTTTGATGACTTTGTTTTGGAAATGTTCCAGTTTTTAAGGAGATTTTTGAAAAACTGTTATATTGTGACATGATTTCTGGGCATAGATAGCTCTCAAATCAATAGTATTTCTGCTTAGTGAAGTTAGAGAAAAGGTCCTGAGAAGAAATCAGCATTAATAAGGAATTACATGAATAAATGCCACCTCTTCCCTTGTCTGTGATCCCATGCCAACTGGATATGCAGAATACCTATTTCTTTATTAAAAAAAAATCTAGCATGAAAATAAAATTTGAGAATTTAACTAAATTGTATCAATATTTTGCTTTTTATTTCACCTTCTATAATAATCACAAATAATCATAAATGTAGTAATATGACAACTTTCACAAGTGGTGTTAAAAATTGTGTCTATTTTTTTGTTCACTCCTTAAATAAATGTTATTTGTACATCTCAGGATTGATAGTATTAGGTAATATATGAATTATTAGGTCATCTCAATTATTAGATTATTTTAATTTCAATTGCCAATATTTATTTTATAAATGAATTGTAAAACATGTATCAGCTTTTAAAATATAACTAATACGTGTTTTATTTCTTCTTTTTTGGACAGTCTCAGGACAAAACATCAGGAGGTATTAATCCAGAACCTTGTCCAATCTGTGCTCGGCAACTGGGAAAGCAGGTGAAATTATAATAAATACTACATGCATTTATAAAATACTTTACAGTTTTCAAAGGCTTCTACATACAGATTCCCCTACTCTGCCCTCAAACCTTGTGTGCAAGGCAAATGTTATCTCTGTCTTAAAGGTAGGGCCAAAGGTTAACTAACATGCTTAATGTCAAATATGTTTGAGCAATGTTTTTTCCCTTAAGTGATAGGTCAAACATGTTTCTAGAATAACCCCATCTTTTTCATTAAAGATGAATAATTTTAAGCATTGTTTTCAGTCACTTGACTGTCAGTTTATCATGGGTATTTGGAAATTGTACAGAAATACAATGCAGCATACACAGATTTACTTACAGTATTACAAATGTATAATAACATAGTTCTTAATATTATTAATATCTAACAGTACCAGAATTTAAAGCACAAATAATAGCAATCCTAAAGGAATTTATATGTGTTTGAATATTAGTGTACAAATGTCTAAAATAAATGGTACTGTATTAGTTCTCCTCAAAAAGATTCTTATTTTTATTTTATGAAATGTGATTTATGATACTGTAAGTTCCTACTTTGATAAATAAATATGTAATAGCAGAATATTCATGGTTTTTGTTTTTGTTTTTAATTTGAAAAAGGGTTTTTTTTTTTTTTTTTAATGGGTGAAAGTGTCTCTGGCACTTTTTTCCTATGAAACTGAGAGGTAAAGTTTAAATATATGAATTCTGTACTCTGACCAGCAGTAATCAGAAAGCACATACCTTTTAGTCTCCATGATTTATGGAGAAGATTTTAAAGGATATTTTATTGATAATAAATCTTAAAAGGATCGATTGGAAATTGAGCAAAAGAATATTAATCTCAGTAATACTGGAGGTTACTGATAAATAAGTGATAAAAACATTTTGACAAAAGTTACTATAATAATGGAAAGGATCATAGTGTAAGTAGTTTCTTTACTTTTAATTTTGATGAGATTCATGCAACTAATTTGTCTCAGAAATTTTATTGTCTTTACCATTTGCATCTCATTTTCTGTATAATAAATGCTTTAATATATAAAAATTAAATCTGTTTAATAAGTTGTATAGAATGTATTGGATATGATAGCTCAAAATTAATATTGTAATCAATCTGTTACTCTATTAGAGTAATTTGCACTTTTCCTAAATACTGAAATGAGAACACCAACATCTTACAAAATATTGATGACTATTAGTCCTATTAGTGTGAGCAGAACTGAAAACTATTGTTCACTAAAAAATAGTTTAAAAGTATAATTTAGTTTTTATGACTTAAAGGTTTTTTATTATATATCATGAAATATTTAGGAAATAAAATGATGGCTCTCTTCCTCTCCTTTTAATAGATTTGTAGATTGGAAGGCATCTTTGATAGCATCTCGCTGAGACATATTCTGTGTGTTTTCTTCTTCAGTGGGCAGTACTGACCTGCGGGCACTGTTTCTGTAACGAGTGCATTTCAATTATTATCGAACAGTACAGCGTGGGGTCTCATAGGAGCTCCATTAAGTGTGCTATCTGCCGCCAGACCACGTCTCACAAGGAAATCTCCTATGTCTTCACCTCAGAGAAAGCCAGCCAGGAAGAAGACATCCCTGTGAAGGTAAAGTCGGCTAAGAACATGCAGAGTCAGAGCACTGTAATAGGAGTCAGTATGTGGCAGCGAGAGCATCAGAATCAGAGTGAGGCTGGCTCAATGAAGCGACTACTGTTGACTGTAGATATACTGCCTGAAAGCCTCAGTACATCTACTCATTCCTCACGGTAGGAACACAGGAATGCTTTTTCAAACATAGTAATAATTATGCCCACTATAGCAAAAAAAAAAAGTGACATCTTAGAATTCCAGTCTTTTTTTTTTTAAATAGCGTTTCTGAGCACTACAGATACCAGATAGAGCTCTGGTTCAATTCCAGGTTTCTTTTTCTTCATTTTTCCATTCAGCCCAGTGTATCAGGAAAAAGAAGATATGCTGCACCAAACTGAGGGATAAAATTAATTGATTCCTGAAGTTTAGTGAAGACTGTCAAAAGGAGATAGTGCATTTTTAGATGGCATGGATTGATATTTCAGACTATAGCCAAAACTTTATTTTCTTGATTTTTTTTCCCCATGCTTCATTCAGAACTTTAAGAAAGAAGACTATAATTTAAAATCCAAATAAAATAAATTGCAGGCTTGTTTAGTTGCTAAGTTGTGTCCAACTCTCTTGTGACCCCCATGGACTATGGCCCACCAGGCTCCTCTGTCCATGGGATTTCCAAGGCAAGAATACTGGAGTGGGTTGCCATTTCCTTCTCCGGGAGCTCTTCCCGACCCAGGGATCAAACCCATGTCTCCTGCATTTACCACTGAGCCACCAGGAAGCCCAAAATCCAAGTATGATCTGTAATTGGACTTTCTGCCTGAGAGGGTATTTATTTAATGAAAAGCCTTTACTAGGTTTTTTTGTTCTTTGTTTTATGTAAAAAGCCTTTTTTTGTTTGTTTTCCTAACCAAACTTAGAGGACAATTCAACATATGAGTATGGTGGAGAATATAGGCCAGAAGTAGTTGGAAGACTGATGGAGATGGCTCATAAGCTAGAAGTAGTAGAATATTTTTCATTAATTCCTTCTCCTTCTGGGTCCCTGCTGCTGTATGCTCACTTATTGTCCAGGGTTGTATTTTGTGAGTAGACTTAACGACAGGTCCTTATCAGAGAATAGGAGACCTTTTTATTATTGCTATTACTGAAATATAGTTGATTTACAGTATTAGTTTCAGGTGTACCACAAAGTAAATCAGTTAAACATACATGTGTCCACTTTTTTTTTTTAAGATTCTTTTCCCATATGTGTCATTAAGAGTATTGAGTAGAGTCCCCTGAGCTATGCAGTAGGTCCTTATTAGTTGTCTATTTCACATAGAGTAGTGTACATATGTCAATACCAATCTCCCAATTTATCACTCCCCCCGGCAACCATAAGTTTATTTCCTACTACTGTGACTCAGTTTCTGTTTTGTAAATAAGTTCATTTATACCAATTTTTTAGATCCCACATATGAGCGATATAATGTGATACTTGTGTTAGTCCTTTTCAAAGAAGATAGGTATTCAGTACTCCAGATGTGACTATAAAAATGGGTAACTCAGGTGAGGTGGTAGAAGCTGAAGCAATGAGATTTGAATGTTGAATAAGTGGCCCAAGTGGACGGTATATAGTATCCGGAGTTGATTATACTTTAGCCTGTTGACCACACAGAGAAGTGCTTTCTTTTTCAGTTCCCCCCGCTCCTTTCTTCCTTCTCTTACAGTTTTTTCTTTCCTTTCCTTTACATAAAAAGTCTTTTTGCTTTCCCTCTCTCTTCTCTGGCCTCAGGCATCCCAGGGTCCACAGATGGCATGCGTGGCTAAGAAGGGCTGCTGACCCTCCAGTGAACACATTCATGGCAGTGCAGGGAACAAGCATAACAAGGAACTGCTGTGTCAGACTTCATGCAGTAAGGTTTAGGAAGTGATTGCCCTAGCTACCAGTAAACAGCACCATCTCTGAAACTGAGTCCATCAAACCCAAACACCTGTTCATCTTATGGCAGCTTTCCTAGACACCTAGGAGAAAGATCAGGACAGTTGCATATGCTGTCCTATTGGGACAGGAATATCAGTGTACAAATACTGTTTATTATGCTCTCTTTTCCTGTCTTTTGTGGGTATTGATGAACACATGAATTAATTGAAAGACCTACCAAAAAAAAATTTTATAGCATTGGAACATGTTTACATTACCATATATAAAATAGATAACCAGTGTAAGTTCAGTGCATGAAGCAGGACACCCAAAGTGGGTGCTCTGGGACCACCCATGGGGATATGGTGGAGAGGGAGGTGGGAGAGGGGTTCAGAATGGGGGGGACACATGTATACCTGTGGCTAATTCACGTTGATGTATGGCAAAAACCATCACAATATTGTAAAGTAAATATCCTCCAATTAAAATAAATATTTTTTTTCCAAAAAGAATACAGAATTTATCAAAGTTCAATTCTCTTACCTTTTAGATGTACATATACTTATGTTTCCTTTTTATTAAATACATGACTGAATATTATACTTACTATGCAAGCAAGTGTTATGACTTTCCACAATTCTCACATTGCTTGTCTCTGCATTTACTTTTTGTTTTCTGTCACTATATCTGTCTGCCATTTCTGCTGCCTGTGTCCTTTTCTGTCATATTTCTGCCACGTTCTTGAAGCATCTGCTTATTTTCTCAGACTTGCACTGCACTCTGACTCTCTGAGACTGTCCCACTTAATTGATCATGTCATCTGTCTTAGAGTTGAGGGATATAAAGATGGCTCTATGTAAATACTGAAGGCATTGTTTTGAAATTTATTTCATTAAAAGTTTTTATCTGAAACTTTCACTTCACTCTAAGCATTCATGTCAAGACACTCAGACACAGCAAACAATGTAATTTCATACATGGTGCTTAATCATCTAGCTGATCTCTGGTAAAGGATATTTGGAGAACATAAAAATAGAATTAAATAATATAAGACTTTTTTTTTTCTACTGGTATTTCCCAGTGTAAGGAATCCTATTGATTGACCACTTAAATAAAATGAGTATAGTATTCATTAGTGAATTAGGGTATGCATTTAAGTTAAAGACTGTCTCTACCCTAACAGCAGTGTCACAGTATTCCTAAATGACCCTTGGAACCTCCTGGGTATTTCGCAAAGTAAACAAAATTCCCCTGCGAGTTCTGACAACTGCCAGGCATTTTAGAGGGTGAAGTAGGCCTCCGGGCAGCACACAGGCCCCACATGACCTGTCCCCTGTGTCCTCAGTTTGGCTCCCTTTCGTACAGAGCATTTTTGTCATTGGAAACCCTGACCCTGTAATGAACAAGAGTCTTATGTCATAAGAAGTTTCTATCCAAGAGAATACATGGATATAGCCACAGCAAAACAGCACCCGCTACACACACAGCACTTCAGTTTCTGAAACTTGAGTGCCTAGTAATCAAGTGCTCTGTTTTTTAAATTAAAGTTTATTTTCAGGTGCATTCCTGTAACTTCTAACTTGTTAGATCTTGGATCTGGTCCAGGAATCTGCAGTCTTAACAAGCAAATCTATAGCTAGTAAAGATGTTTATACAACCTTTTTGTAGAGAAAAAGAAAAATATATTTCTACATTAAAACTCAGAGAAACCTAGCAATACCATTTGTCAAACTATACTGTGTGTAGGATCATATTGTTTCTTTTCTTTTTTTTTCAGTTTTTATTCAATTGACTTGAAGGTGACTTGTAAAGTCTGTCTTGTACTTTCTAACTATAATTAAAATATCTAGGTGGAATAAAAATGATTGTAAAATTCTGACTGAGTTTAAAGTTGACATAAAATAATTTGGTAAGTATAACCCACAAGTGGTTATATTTAAATATGCTCCTCTAAGTATTCTTGTATAAGATTCTTGATATTATCTTGTTGTTGGTGGTCAGTTGCTCAGTCATGTCTGACTCTTTGTAACCCCATGGACTCCAGCACCCCAGGCTTCTCATGAGCTTGCTCAAACTCATGTACATTGAGTCAGTGATGCCATTCAACCATCTCATCCTCTGTTGTCCCCTTCTCCTCCTGCCTTCAGTCTTTCCTGGCATCAGGGTCTTTTCCAATGAGTCAGCTCTTTGTTTTAGGTGGCCAAAATATTGGGGCTTCAGCTTCAGCATCAGTCCTTCCAATGAATATTCAGGACTGATTTCCTTTACAGTTGACTTGTTGGATCTCCTTGCAGTCCAACGGACTCTCAAGAGTCTTCTCTAACACCACAGTTCAAAAGCATCAATTCTTTGGTGCTCAGCTTTCTTTATAGTCCAACTCTAACATCCTACATGACTACTGGAAAAACCATAGCTTTGACTAGATGGATCTTTGTTGGCAAAGTAATGTCTCTTCATTTTAATGTGCTGTCTAGGTTTGTCATAGCTTTTCTTCCAAGAAACAACCGTCATTTAATTTCATGGCTGCAGTCACCATCTGCAGTGATTTTGGAGCCCAAGAATATAAAGTCTGTCTCTGTTTCCATTGTTTTCCCCATCTATTATATTTACATATAATATCCCCTAAAACCTTAACTTTTTTGCAGTTGCTGACTTTTTATCTCTTTGAAATAATTATTCAAAATACTTTAAAGAACAGGATAATATTTTTGTGGCTAAGTGCACTTGTAAAATTTCCCACCTAGGCTGCCTGGGTGGAGTTTCCACTGAACTTTATTGAAGAAACATGTGAAAAGCCCAACCATTTTCCCAGGCATGTACTTGAAAAATATTCCTGGTTTGTGAGATCAATCATATATAAACTGTGTAACTGCACTAAATTGTATCTATCACTATCAACTTGGGTTTTTAGCATGGTGAACAGATGCAGACAGAAATAAAACAAAGTTAACTGATCTTACTCAACTAGAACTACTATGGACAGCACAGGCAAATTGGAAGAGTCAGCTCTACTTTAAAAGGAGAAGTCCAGAATAAAAGCAGTGTCAGAAAGTCCCAAGACAGGAAATGACTTCCTCCATACTGTTTTCCTAAAAATAGGAAACATTCAGGT